TTCAGATGAATCAAAGGCATTTAATGACTATATCACGTTCCTCAACTTTGGTAAAAAAATATTAAAGTATACTGTGTTAATATTACTCAATTTAGTTGATACACCCTGCTAAGTACCCAAAAATTACTATTACCATTAATTAATCTTTTACTGGCTCTAAACTTTATTTGCACTACAAACATAATTTGTTATAATTTTGAACTCTTCGTATAAAACGAAACATATTTTTATATAAATTACCCATTATGGATAGGTCGTAATGAATTTAATTGTTCCATTTAACAACAATTTAGCTATAAAAATGTTTATGACTAGGCACTGATATTCACAATGTAGCGCTTAATTGGTGCTTCAATATTAATTTAATATAAGTTTTAATACTGTATAGTAGTTTTATAAAAAAACATATACAGAATAGAGACTTGATACTGTTCACTAATGGATCGAAACTTGAAAACAAAGAAAATGGTAGTGACTCTACATCAACTTAGAAGTAAGCTACTCACTTCAATGGGAATTTACTCACAACTTTTTAGATAGAAGTGTTTGCCATTGATATTTATGTTACAGAATGGCCTAGAATGCGAAACTAATGGATCGAAACTTGAAAACAAAAAAAATGGTAGTGACTCTATATCAACTTAAGCTACTCACTTCAATGGGAATATACTCACAACTTTTTAGATAGAAGCGTTTAGCACTGATATTTATGTTACAGAATGGTCCAGGTTGCGAAAATAAAGCGTAAGTATTTTTAAATATTTGGAGAAATTATCTCTATGCATATCTAAGCATTCTTAAATCTTAATCTAAAGCTTCAAAAAACTCTCATTTAGACCACTATATCCATCTTGATCTGAAAATAATTTAAGTCGTCTAAGAATTCTTAGACTGCTATATTCATATTGATCTGAAGCTACACATATCTCTAATTTAAGTTCACGGCTATAAGGAATTCGATTTTAAAAAACTAACAATTCAAAATGCCAATATGCCAAAATACACATCATAAAACTGGAGCCTTTTTATAGAATATCTATTTGTCAAACTACATTAGTATACAAGAATTTCATACGAAGATATTCTCTTATATTAAAACCATTTAGGTCAACAACAAAAATACTGATAAGTATAATGTATTATACTGTATAATGTATTGTACTGTATAATGTATTATACTTATACTACCTACTGGTCCTAATGTCTTCCAATCGCTGTTGGCTATTCTCCAAACTTCTGCACCATAAAGCAAAGCAAGCATCATATGATATTTTTTGAATATGATTTCTGAACATGATAACAACTTTTGGCAAAAATGAGTCTTTGTTAAATCTCTTAACTAACGTTCTATTTGTTAACAACTTGAAATTTATCGCTTATCGTCTATAGTGACTTGGATTTTAAGGCACCTAAGGGATATGTTCATTGACATAAAATATTTTGTTTTGTACTCATATACCACATAAGACCCATTTCATCACCTAGTTTTGTTTTTCACATAAAAAACTGAACTAACACCGGGATTTTATAGGCCAACAATGTCAAAGTCGTCAACATATGCCAGCAATACTATACTTTTATAGAAAAATGTGTCAATATAGCTCAATTCTGCTATTCGAATTATAGTTTCCAACATTAGGTTAAAGAAATCACACGTTAAGAAATCAGCGAACAGCTTTTGAAATTATTCGCAATCCTCACTGAGCTATTGATTTAGCCCAGTCATTGTACATGAACATACAAGCTCTGCCGGATATTAAATTTAAATAAATATAGTATATATCTATGCTCTACGAGGAGAAGAGGACTACAGTAAATAACGACATATGTCAACAAACACATACCTGCTTGTGAGGTCCCTTTGAGAGGTGTTGAACGATACTTGGTCGTCGTAGGTGACGAGTGGCTCCGAGACGTAGACCCGACCGTTCTTGAAACCACGCGATACTCCACACAGATGCAGTATCTTCTTTAAGATACTTAATAGGCCTCCTTCGGAAATCTCCCCAAATGAACTGTCCTAACTCAATTGAGATCAGGATATAGCCGAGTGCTAAACACTTACTTGTCGTGCATAAACACGTCCACAATGTGTGCCCTAGCTGCAGCTCTTCTCCCCATGACGTCGCCCATCTGTTCACCTGTCCTTCTGCACACACAAACCTTCGTCGAATCAACCTTTGGACTCACCCCATTGAAGTGGCCAGGTTTCTCCGCCTGGATCCAGGATGACGTGATATATACCCACCCACATCCTTATTCCGTCCCCCCTTCACCTACTTCCCTACTCATGCAATCGTCATGTGTATCCTTTCATGTTTATCTGCTTATAGGTCTCAGCGGGTTACAACAACAACAACAGTAAGTAACATTCAGATATATAGAATATAGCATAGACTGCTTTTAGTCGAAGTATTAAGAGTGGCATTGAAATCAGAGTTAAGCCGGGTTAGAAGCTATACTAATCAGTTTGTTGACCATTGGCTTCAGTTCTTAATACAGTACGCTTCAAAGACCTTAATTGCGATGACCAATAGACTAATTCCGCGCAAGTGCAGGATCGCCCTTTTCGTGGATCTAGTAATAAACATATTAAAATTGATGGTACATGAGTCTTTCTGAAAAGTAAAACAAAATTTAAATTTGATTAAAACTTAACTAGTTTTGAGTTCAGATCATAAGTATAATAATATTCAGTTTCTCATGATCACTGGATTGATTCTAAATTATAATAATTGTCTTCAACCTGCGAAAAGTTATTCTCTTAACTGTGTAACTACTACTGTTTACTAATTATAATTTTACGTATATTTATTTTTTATATCGCGTTAAATTATTTATTGGTACTGGAATAAATGGAAAAAATAAAGTGGAAAAAATGCTTTATTATTATAAAATTAAAAAAGCTGTGTATAATCAGCCCAGCCTAGCTTATCCTATACAATATTAGAATATATAAAATAAAATGTTTATATATAACTAATTTAGCTTTAATAATAGTTAAAACATAATAATGTTTTAATAACTTTAACAAACACTTTTTTGTTACAAATTCTTGAACTTTATTAAAAGCTTGAAGAAATTTCCCAATCCTCAACAGACATCTGTGTACTATATTTAGTCATTTGGCTGAAGTGGAATCTAGCTTCTTGAGATCACCGTATCTATATAACATTATTTTTTAAATGTGTGTGAGTGATCGCCTATTTTGTCTCAATAATTAGTTTTTTTTTTTTTGTTGCGAGAAATAGTTTATTACTATTAGACATTTTGTTATTGATTTTAAGTAGAGTAGCAATCTATGGAAGTGTGTGGTAAAAAATAAAAAGTAATTTTAAGTACTTTAATGGAAACGAAACATTCTACTTTAGAATCAAAAATCAATTTAGACGATTCAACTACGACATATTAAAGTTCTACAAACTATTTTTTTTATTAGATCGAAGAACAGTGCTGAAGTAATTTAATTCAAATCTATAGATTAGAAATTAGAAAATAAATATATTAATATCTAATATAAATATAAGATATTAGAAATTAACATCTTTAATATTGTGTTTATGTTCCTCACAAATATGTTACGCAAATAACCATAAACGAAGCACAGATTTTCTTTATATTCTTGCCTCTTTTAAATAAATACCTTAGCCAAACTTATATAACAATATTGAGTATATAGCAGTTATATATAATTAATAAATTTTGTGCACGTTTAACATATTGCTGTAGAATATTTCTATAGAATTTGTTAAAAAAATGCATTCACTTTTTTACTAAGTGATCAGTATTTATACTTCCAGTTTTGAAATAGTATTACAAAAATAAAAATTAGTTTAATTAACTTATATGTATATATATATTTATTTATTTATTTGACTTGCTTGAAAAAACAATTTCACATTTTATGTAATTTTAATTTTAATTTCAAAATAATACATCTAAGATTCACATCTTTTATTCGAATATGAAGTCGTATAAAATATGTTCATGACTTATGAATTTCTCATTGTGCTTTTTGAATAATAATCAATACAATCATAAAATTTGTACGTAAAAAGAAAAATTTTAATAAAATAAAAAATCAAGTGCAATTAGTTTATAAATATATTTTACTTTCTCTTTTCTAATAAGGTTACAGCACAAAATTATTAAATGTGTAAATAAAATATATTAATTAATAAATTATTATTATTTATTAAATTAATAAATTAATTAATAAAATATTATATTATTTATTAAATTTTTGACTTCGCTATTGATTTAATTGCAATTTCAAATAAAGATAATAGGGTTTATCTTTTGTAATTTGATTGATAATAGATAATTAATATTGTTTATATTAAATTTCAATAAAAAAAAACTTAAAAATTATGTATAGATTTAACAAATCTGTTGTTATATACAATTATTCTTTAGTGTAAATATCAGACACAACTTTTTAACAGTATGAATTACAAACAATGTTTAATAAAACATTTTTATAATAAATTAAGATTTAAAATATGAAAATAATAAAAATTATAAATTTATTAAGCCATCACATCTGATCTTGACGTAATGACAAAAATAATTATTGTCGATATTTTTGCATTTGCATACTCTGGTTCTAAATAATTCGTTTGCTTTCTAAACGGATAAAACTAATATAAAGCAATTATAAACATATGAAGTCATCTCTTGAAACTATATATACAAAATTTGAGCATATACATATATGTCATATAATTTTAATACATTTCGTCAGTGATTATTATAATACATTATGAACTTATGTAATAAAAGTGGTCATAATAAAAACAAAAGAAACATAACTTTAACTACGAAATTATATATATATATATTTTATAAAAATATTATAGTATTTTAACAAGATATTTCTATTTGTTTTGCAGCTATTTTATATGTTATATATAAATAGAATGTACAGGTAGATAAATAAACTTGTAAATTTAATTTAAAATATTTTTTAAATTTATTTATTTTTTTTTTTTTTTTTGACTAATGATATTTAAAATTATCTATGCTGCAACTTTACTTATTGTATTAAGTAAAAGTTGAATATATTTTTATATTAATTTTTCTATCGTACTCATAATTTATATATGTTACGCCTTCTTAATGCTACACTCAAACTCATAAATTAATATCCAATTTCAGTGCAACAGTAAATCACATCATAATTTCTTATTTCTAATTTTATGTACTGGACAAAGACATTTTTTGTTTAATCATTTCGAAGCAAAAATTGCTTTAAGCGATCAGGTAGTGGTAACGATCCAACATCTTGTGCTCTTGTACGCATGAGAATAGCATCACGGCACGCATTTTGCAAGGACACAACTAAACGAAATAAACAAATTAATAAATACAAATAAATTGCTCGATTATTATGAAACTAAAATTAAACTTACTGCCATAAAGTTGTATAATACGAATTTGTTTTGTTGTGCCATAAACATCCAGGACAACGTGTAATGGAGATTTGTCCATTGGTATGTCTCGTGTACAGGGCCCTTGATCTACACCATTTATTATGAAATGCATTTCTGCTTTATTTTTATCCTGTTGAGTCGGCACAAACACAACACCAATACGCGAACCTCTATCCGTTAACAAAATACCGGAATTAGCATCAGCCGGTCGAAGTAAACTTTTTAAAACCATTCCCCGCGGGGTACGCACATATATAGATTCACCAAGAATTTTATCTGTATTAACATAAGATTTTATAAACAATTATTTAATTTTAAGATTCAATAAACAATTATTTAATTTTACGTATTATTTAATTTTACGTATTATTTAATTTTACGTATTCATGTTAAATATTGAAGGGATTCATAACCTCTACCAAGAAAAATGTATTTATGAAAAAAAATGTCTATTTAATTTGCGCTTATCACACATATGCTTTAGTTTTAATATTTAAACATACTTCTCATTGCATCCGTCTTGTTTGGTATTTGGTGTAGTAAATTGTAGCATTGGCCAAAACTGAGTGGATAAATATTAAGAGTATCATTGGGAACGGATTCGAATTTGGATATTGGATATATCCAACTAGTACCCATATTTGCTAAATCTGGAAGTGCAAATTGCGGTAAACCGTTGCCTCTTGTGCCAATGGAATCTGGTGCTAACTGCGTCAGTCCCAATCGCATATGACCTGACCAACCATGTTCATTTTTCTCGATTTCAACTAAAAAAATTTCGCCCGGTTGCAGCGGCTTCTCGGAAAATATAAGTGCATCTGCAAAGCTAGTTTTACGGTATGCAACCGTATTATCATCACAAAGAATTATGTTTGCTCCATGATAAGGATGAAAACGAGACAATAGGCGTTTAGATATTAAAGGAGTGGAAGTTTCGGGATTACTGCTCGGCATTGAACTACTGGGATCGTCTGGATTCCTGCCATCATCCCCAGTTGCGTTGCCAGTACCACTACGTCCATTATCAGACATATTTTCAGATTTTTACATATATAAAACAATATAATTAATTTAATAAGATATTTAAAAAAATCACACAACTTGTTAATACACTTTCAAGCAGAAATATCTTTATTCTACTATTGTTTCATTGACATTCTAGGTCGGAAAGAAAATTTCAGTGCTGCAAAACGATTTTCTGCAGCGATTTGACAGTTTCCCTTGTTATAAAAATAGAAAAATAAAAAATGTATTGTATAATATTTTTAATAGATATTATTCAATTTTTCAACTTTATTGTCAAAATGATTAACTATTTTCACAAAAGTAAATTTTACATTCAATGCATCAAATTCATGTTTTAGGTTTGTAAAGGTATATCCACACCAGAACGTTTTAACGAACGAACTTTTGCAGGTACGATTAACGGCGAACGACAGCATTTCAAAGTAATTCTAACATATAAAAATGAAAACTCGAAATTGAAAGCAATCAGATTCTTTCGAAAAAATTATTTAAAAAATACTTATAAACGGTTAGTTGCAGTGAGAGAATTTCCATTGTCAGAAAGTAAACATAAATTGAAACCATAAAGATTTTTTCGAAAAGAAAAATATCTGAGAAATAGCAATCCAAAAGGTTAATTTCACTGACTGCATTTCTATTGTCTAATAATATGACAATTTTATTAGTCAAACTTTCAGGAACTTTCTGTGTTATATTTATACAATAAATAATCGTTGATAGAAACCGTTTTTGATAGCAAATAGTTTTGTGTATTTAGAAAGTTTCTGAATGTTTTTTTTATATCAGAAAACTTAATAAGTAAATATAATCATATATTTGAATTAATGAATATATTTTCAAATAATAATTTTTTTTTTTAAACAAAACTATTGGTCAATTGGTAAATAATGCACTTAATTTTAAAATTTTTTAAAAACCAACTTTTTAAAAAAACTAAAAAATAAAATTATTAATAAAATGTTTGGTCATTAAAACAATAAATTATATTCTCAATTATAAATAAAAGTTTTAATGCATATAATAATAGAAAGATTTGTTCAATAAATGACTGAATAAAAATTTTTATATAAAACAAAATTTATTCGTTAGAATATCGTAAGTTGCTATATAATACGTAAATCGATATATAATATCGTAAATACAATTATGTGATTGTTGGTTACCTTATTATTTTCCGAACACTTCTCAACACTAATTGTCCAGTACAAATCAGCTGTATGTGACATAAAAATATTGTGTTCACATTTTATAAGTGTTCCACATAAATTAATATTGCATTTAATTAAAAGTATGTTTAATGAATTAAAATAAGAGTAAAATGCATTAATATAATTATTGTATTTTTACAGAATGCGTCTCTCTCCTACTGTACTGGGTTTTCAAAATAAAGGTCGAACGCCGCAAAATGAAAAGGCTGTGCCGTTTCAGGAAATCCTGCCACTTCGTTTAAAAAACAGAGTGAGTGGAAAAGCAGATTCAGGAAGTGATGTCGCTTGTCTACAAGAAATGAGTGTACTGTTTGCTTGTCTAAAAGATAATGAGTTTGTCGAGCAATATTGCAACAAAGAAATTACCCAGTTTAAAAGGTGCTATAAATATTTTATGGACTCAAAGTTTCAGGCCAAACAGACTGTAAACCAAGGTATTGTAACACCTGGCAAAGATCTCAATTATAGGCAGTTGAATAAGTATATGAGAGGATTCCCAAATCCAAAATAATTAAAATTGTTTGTTAAACAAATATATACTATTACATAATAAAAAATTCTGTTTATTTTTTGTGCTAAAATTAATTTAATCGTAGTAGTACTTAGTACACAACATCAGCATCACCTAAGCCGCCTGATGAAGAACTGCATACCGGCGACGACTGACTTAGAGCACTTATGAAGCCATTGTTACGGGCTACACTGCCGGTGCGTTGCTGTAATTCAAAAAGTTCACGCAGTAGTCCTTGTTTCTCGCGTTCCAAAAGCGTTATTCGATCAGTCTTTATACTAACTTCATTTGTCAGATGCCGGTTTTGTTGTCTCAGTCTATCTACTGGTTGCAGTAAGCCAACAGTTCCAGCATTGTTTATGTGCTGTGCAGTGTTTTTCGGTGGTTTCCGTATGGCAAGGTTAAAATGAATTGGAAAGCTGCTACGCTCCCATGTATCTGCTAAAGCGGACAAATTCCTATTCACCTCTAAAACGCGTGTACGCTGGAAATTTAAACGTTCCTCTGACCATTGTTCCTGAAATAGAGAAAATGTATATGAATACTCTTGATCCCACTGGGCATGTATTAATGCTTACTACATGTGTTCCCATACGTCCGAGGTATTTCATTTTTTCCTGTATATGTGCAAGTTGTTGTAAATACCAATCTTTTGCCTTTTCAACGGCATCTAAACCGAGTAGAAGGACTTCACGTTCCTCTTCATATTGCTTTAATCTCTTAAGCATATTGTAGTCGATGCCATTCTGTAAGGTATGACGACGTGGTTCTCGACGCTTGTTGCTATTTTTTTTCAAATGCTGTGCAGTAGTGCTATTTATACTGTCAGTTGTCGACGATGAACCACCGTCTGCAGCGCCACGATATTGAAATTGATTACTGCCTAAATAAGTTGATTTTCGCTTATCATCTTTAGCGTCCATTTCATTGAGTAACACGCCCATTTGCCAGTTCTGCAAAGCATGACGAATTTCAGTCTTGTTTATTGAAGTCGTTGGAGTAGTATTAACTGTGGTAAGTATGCCGCTGTTAGCAGCAGCCGCAGCAGCAGCAACTGATGCTCTTGGCGGTTTTGGTGGTGGCGGTGGTGAGTTATAGACACTATTGACAGCATTAGCCACATCAGCGTCAAGTTCTGAATCAGGACTTAATTGTGGCATGCTGTAAGCTCTTTGCTTATTCGAGATATGTGGACGTACGGTTGCTGTGGGATTGGCACACCAAAGTGTGGCAGGTTGTGGATTTTCAATTTCTAGCACTGGTGCTGATGGTGGTCTCGATAATTTAATTGGAGATTTACTTTTGTTAGCTGCAAATGTGTTGTTTATTGAAGATGAAATAAGCCCATTGCTATTTCCACTGAATTCTGTTTGGTTACGTAGAAGACACAATTTTAGGCCTGCACAAAATCTTTCAAACGACAGTAAACCATTTACGGGAGTCACTTTTCTTAAAGAATTTAAAACGCCACGCGGTAAACCTTTACAGCCATCGTCTTGCCAACCTTTCTCAATATCTGTCAACTTTACAAACCCTGTATGCTGGTCATCGAGTATATCGAAAAGGGTCTTCATGGATAACACAAATTGTTTTGGCAGTGCATCCAGTGGATTGCTGTTGTTTATTGGATTGGTAGCACAAATGTTGGAAACAGGAAGGCTGGCATTGTTATTGAGTGTAGCACTTAAAGTTGTGATGTTGTTGTAACCATGGGACAATGCGTCAGCAGTGTTGTGTCGAATCATTCTAGAGTTCTGTGGATAAAAGAAGTAAAGATTTATTAATTTTGACATACATATTGAAAGACAATAGCTAATTGTATTGAAAACTGAAATAGAATTGGTACTCGCAAACCCACAAACCATTAAAAAAATTGCTACGGACGAATTGTACTTCACTCCACTTATATCAATTGTCGAATGATAGTATTATTTTCTGTACTCCAATTTAAAACTAATTAAATCTGCATTTAGTGCGATATAATTGGCATTGTAAAAATCTCATGTGTTCGATATTGCATAAATGCAGCAAGTTTCCTCATTTCAGTTGAAACAATGCACAGTAATTTTGTTTAATATTAACAATTATTTTGCCTTTTCACATTAGCAGATCTTGTCAAGAAGTCAAATTCTTCTTCTTACAAATGAGATATACAATTATATGAAAAAAATCAACGAAGTTATAAAAATGTATTTATGTCAGTTTCCCACGCAAAAACAGCATCAAATATGCTAATTTATTAATTAATCAAGCAGAGAAGCGAACAATATTGTGGATTCTGCACATTAGCATACGATTAACATCAATAGAAAGCGTTTACATATATTTACAAAAAAAAATTCCAACAAAATTGTACCAGTTAACATATATATATATATATATGTATATATGTGTATATGTATACATATATAAAATAAACATATATATAAAACATATATGTAAAATATATTATAAAATATATTATATGTGTATCTTATTTGTAAAATCACAAAACTAAGTTACGAAATTTTCTATTTAAAGAAGCAAAAAGAAAGTTTTGAACTTGTTAGAAATGGTCTTACTAGATTGTTTTTTTTTTTTGATTTTCAACATATGGAACATCCCAACTCTCTACTCAAAATGTATTTAGTCTGTTACTTTCTTCAATAAGTTTAAGGATATGAGCACCGCTTTATGGAATATGGAATAGAGGCATAATAATCACACCAAAACTGACTTCTTCTGTACTAAGAAACTATCTACTCCTATCTAGCGTATAATAAAAAGAAAAAATAAGTGTATACGAATACTTATAACTGGGAGATACCTTAGATGTTGCTAAAGCAGTTGTAGCCATTAATACGGTCTAATAATTTGTTAAGCAATCGTATTGGATAAACAGATATGCCCTTAAATGGTCTTGAGCCTTTTTGTTGACTCACAAAAACTCTCATAATTGACGTCAAGTAAAACAACTTCTTATCTTAGCGAAAAGAAAAATTATTTGCTTAGCAAATAAAATTGAGGACTCTATCTGATTACTGTATAGGTTGCTTAAACAAGTAAATAAGTTGGGGCTCTCTAACACTGGTTTCGAAGCACATTCTTTGTGAATTTCCTACTCTATAGGTATATAGGTTCCATATAAATTATGAAACAAAACCCAAACTGTACTAAAATTTCTTAAAAACCTGGATATATAGAATTAAGCATCAAAACTATGTACAATAAAACTATTCAGGTTACAGTGCTTTTTGACCTTTAATAATAATAATAAATTATATTTATTGTTATATATTTAAATTACTAATGCATCTCATTATTGACGTCACTTTAACTGAAACTTTTATAAGAATTCGTAATATAAAACAAATATGTATTGTAAAGAAGGAACAATTGTTATGCACTAGATCGCTATTGAGGTTACTACAACTAAACTATTAAAATAATCCCTAAAATAGAACAAATATATGTTATAAACATGAGTGAAGTTGAGTGTACTGGATTATTTTTGGGGTCAGTATAACTGAAATTATTGAAAAAATCCCTAACATGTAACGACTGTGTAGTTTAAACTAGAGTAAAGTTAATGGTGAATAGTTATTAAAGTCGCTATAACTGACAGATTACCCCTACACCCCCCTCACCCTCCCATAACGTTCCCCCAATTATTTTCCTGCCGTAACGCACATACTTTTCTTTAATTTGATTCTTGTAGATTTAATCAAAGAGCTATTTCGAACAGTATTGAACAACAACAACAAAAATTCATTTTATATTATTTTAATTAATTGAATTCTTGGATTACCATACAGACTTTAATTTAAATCCCTCCAAGCTTCAATCCATTCTTATTACTAAACAATACTTTTTGCTGCCATAGGTGATGGTAGCATCACCTATCCGCCTTTTAATCAATGTATTCTGTAATTCTCTGTAATTCCTCTCATGGCATCTGCTTTATATGTAACCTGTTATGCTACAACAGCAACAACAACAAAGACCCCTAATATAAAACAAATAACTTTCGGTTAAATGCGGTTTTGTCAACAAGAACAAAAATTTAATTTCGAACTAGAATTATTTTTTTTTTTTGCTGAATCAAGGAATCACCTCCTGAATGTTTATCACTTTGTTCAAAAATACTCTGTACTTCTTTCCCAACCACTTTTATAAATCTCGTTGAAAATAATTAATACATCGATATTCATAAGTTGAATACTTCCTATACTAGTTTATGGTAACTATTGGGCACAATAGATCTTATGTTCGCGGTGCTATGTCCCCTCATAATAATAACAATAACAGTTTGAATGTAAATATTTCTTAAATCAATTATTTGCTGCACCCAGTAGTGTTGATTAATATGAAATACACTGCCTTGACCACAAAAATTCATTTTTAACAAAACTTAACACGATTTTTGTGTTTTTTTCTTTCTTCTTTTTAATTATTATTTGAAATTTATCACTTGTTATTGCAGCTATAACACTTTATACATTTTATTTATGATCAGAAATTAAATTTTCAAAATTATATAACAACTCACTTGATTTAAATAAAATGCACAGAATATCCTGTTTTGAAACAACTTTAATATTTTTTTCTTCGTTGAACACAAATTACTTACAAAATTGTGCATTCCATAAATTCATGAAAACTCAAGCACAAACCACAAAAACTTGTAAAAACAGAATAAACACAAAAGACTTAAGACACAAACCTGATTTGAAAAAACAACCAAACAAAAACAATCAAAGCAACTTTTAAGGTCCACTCAGATTTTTGTTATTATTTTGTTTACGAAACAACATTGAAACTCTTTTGCAAGTGCAAACATATTATTAATTTGTTTTTTTTTATATTAATTTAATTGTTTGATTTTTAAAATATTTATTAATTTATTTTGAAATCACAGTTTTAATGTACTTTTGTGTAACTTTATTAAAAATCTTTTTTTTATTTTTAATGAGAGCAGCGCCAACATAAAAAAAACGATGCCAAAAACAGATCCGTTTAACGTTCGTTCTGCTTAAAGGTAAGAAACGTTCTGTCCGCTGTGGAAGAATCTGTTGATTTGGATGAAGAAAAACAAAATCTATTTTTAAAATTACACAACCACAAAGCAAAGCAGCCTGCAAGGTAACAAATTCGTGTGCTCATGCAAGTTGCTCTTAGCAAACGCAATTCAATTTACACCAAAAAAAAAATAAGAAAACAAGGAAATAATAAAACACAAAAACAAAAAAAAAATTAAATGGGATGTGCGCTATGCAGCGGTTAGCCAGAGCTTTACCCGTCTACTGTACGAATCTAGTTTCATCATTTTTTTTTCTAGATCTCGTTTTTGGTTCTATACATTTTATATACATTTTATATATATATTTTTTTTTTTTGAATCAGAGTAGCTACGAGTTCATTTTTTAGTATTATTTGTGCTTTAAAAACACAAATAATATTTTTTTTTATTTTTTTTTGTGTATATAAATATTTATTTTCTTTTGTAAATATCATTTTCAAATAAATACTTTTAAAAGCAAATCATTATTTTTTGTACCACTTCACGTTATTAAATTATAATTAAAAACAAAATTAGAATGTAAATTTAATAATTAAAGTTTGCGCACGCGTCCCATTACCGTTTCTTTCGACAACTACAGTTTTTGTTTGTTTATGATTTGTCTTGTGTGCCTTCAGTGCAGCAATTCATGCTCGCGAATACAACATGTTGGCATCATACAAATATTATATGCAACTTCATTGAATTGAATTGAAATTTAATCGAACGCAGTTGAAACGAAGTTCGAGTTGAAAGTAACACATCAAGGCATTAGGCAATTAATGTATGTGTAAGCCTCTAAGAGGATTATTATGGCTCTTTCAAGAACTCTTCCAAGTAATTGAATAAAATAATTATTTTATTATTATATTGTGAAAAAAAATTTATAATTAAAAAAAAATAAAAAAATATATATTAAATAAATATAGTAAATAAAAAATTATAAATATTACAAAAAAATTTTTAAAATAAAAATTAAATAGAGAGTTTTGAAGAATAGTGAACTATAACAACAAAATTTCTTATTCGTAAATAAATTTTTTGAGACTGCAAGTACCAAGGGTTAAACACGTGCCCTGCCAAATTTGAAGCTCAGAGTCAGTGAAATAATTTCAAGGCCATTGATGTTGGGTATTTTGCAATATTCGACACAGTTTTATGGTTAACCAAAAATTCAATTAAAATAATAAAGAGGTTTTTCGAACAGTAGTGAACTACAACAACAAAAATTCAATTTATATTATTTTAATTAATTGATATTTTGGCTGACCATACAGCTGTTTCGAGTATTGCCAAATATCCATCATCAGTGGTCTTGGAAATAATTCTTGTATATAATTATTCGTAAATAAAATTTTGAGACTGTAACTTTGGTAGTTACAAGGGTTGAACTGGTGCTCTGCAAAATTTGAAGCGCAGAGTCAGTGTTCATTAGTAAGTTGATAATTAAATATAAGAAATAATTTCAAAACCACTGATATTGGGTATTTGGTAATACTCGAAACAGCTGGGTGGTTAACCAAAAATTCAAGTGATTAAAATATAATATAAAAAAATTTTTTATTGTTGTTGTTCACAACATTCCGAAACCTCTCTATTAAATACAACAGTTTCCATTCAGTAAAAAATATTCACTACTGTCATATTAATGTTAAAAACAAATTTAATAAAAATTAAAAAATTATTATAAACTTTAATGTTTAATTACATTCAATTATTATTATAAATAAATCTTAAGACAACCAAATTTTTTTATTTCACATTAACTATATTTTTATTTTCAATTTTAACTTTAATCTAAAGTCGTCTTCAGGAAAGTGACAATTTTATATCAATACCAATATTAAAATACATAGTTTTTTACTATAATTACTTAATCAAAATTGTCTTCAACAAAGTGATGTGTGATATTAGTGTTTTCAATGATATCATCCATCCATTTAATAACACAACTCAACCTACATTAATGTAGAGAGCAAGAAGATATGTCTCGACGCAGAAGAGCTAGAGTAAGGTAAGATGATCCAAACACCTATCTAGACAGCTTATGAAACGTTCTATGGATAATTTCAAGTCTAAGAACATAAAACTAAAAGTCTTTTATAGGTCCGTTCTTATCTTTAGCTAGCAGCTAATGGTATAATAGAATTGCTGTTATGTGGACACAAAATCTTGCGAAGAATCGACGATTATATACAGCATGAAGATGGCTCATTTCGAATTTAATGCAAAGATGAGATGAAAAGAATAATATAAACATTATCGATGGTTATAACAACCCGAGCTAGTCCATAATCTTTTTAAGGCGTTTTCACCATTTGCTAATGTACCTTGCTGATGAAAGACAGAAGTCCATAAGTTGTTGATGACTTTTCGCTACTTAACAAATAATAAAAAAACCGTCAAAATATTGTAAGTTATGTCAAACCCAACAGATCTGTATATGGGTTACTTAATAAAACCTTATTTTGATGGAGTGGGAAAAATTTTTCGTAGAATATCCATTCAAGGAGAAAGAAAAGGAGATTGTAAAAAAATTTTGATTTAATACAGAAAATTGTAAATCGCAATTAATATAGTAAGAGTAATATAGTAATTACAAAATTAGAGAAGAAAACCAATGGATTTAGACCGATAAAAAGGATTACTTGACAAAGTGTAGTCAGATCATTGTGTATTAAGGAGTCATGCAATGAGACTTGGTCTATCACATAATGATTTTTTCGCGAGTATGGCTCTGCAAAAGAGATAAAAACTGTGTTATTACTTAAGGCTTAGTACCCATCTTTGGCAAGAAGAAAATTTAATATGTTTGTCATCCTTCATAATTAGAGACAAGTTTATTGATTTGTTTGGCTGGTTTACTTTTACTTAAATGGAAGAATCGTGTCTGTTTGTTTTTCGCGTTGTTAATGCGCATATTACTTTGGTTTTTATACCTGTATTGGTGGTTCTGTTCGACTTAAGTATAAGCATTTGTGTTTAGTTGATCTTTAGTCACTTAAACTTAATAAATCCCAACTTTAATACAGCAGTGGGAGCTGGAATAAAACCACTGCAGTTTCCAGCGTATCCTGCGAGTATTTTGAGTATTCTCAAAATCTAGTAATAATTTAGAACTAAGAAAGCACAAATTACTAAAAAAAACCCGAAAGTCACTTTTTTTTTAAATTCTAGATTGTGATTTCCAAGTCAGCTGAAGATTTTGGCGTCATCGCAAAATATCGAGAGCTGCGACTTGTTGTACCTTTGAGATTAACCAGTACATCACTTTCCTAAACCAAACAATTATTTTTAAATCAGTATTTCGCAATCAATTCAATATTTAATATATTTTTTTAAAGATACTTTTATTTAAATAAAAAAAGTAAATATAACGAACTATAGCGTAAATGCAACATTTTTGCAGTTTTTATTTAATGTACTTAATATAATTAATATTTTAAATAAATATAAATCTAATGTTAGTATACATATTGCTCTATTTTCTTTATACTAACCAAAAATCATAAGTTAGATTAAATTTTCAAAATTCATATTAAAAGCAAAAAATCAGTCATTAAATTGTAATATCGTATTGCAAACTGCCATTAGGAAGCAATTAAACCATAATCATACCCAGAGTACATTCAATGTAAGTATTAGATAGTCATAACCAATAAGAAACTAAATTATTTCATTTCGAAATTCGGACTCTCAAAAATCTATCTTAGCATTTATTCCTCGTATCTTGAAGAGAGAAAATTGATTTTTAGAATGCAAATTTCGGTTAAATAAACTTAAATTACACATAAAAACGAATTCTAAACTGATCTCATGTTTGTATTAATATTTACTATAATCTTCTAGTTTAACTTTATAAGTCGGCTACGGACTTCCTGCGCACATATTTAGCGAAATAATCTGGACGCCAACATTTACAGGAACCAGGAATCAAAAACCAATCGTAGTATAAACGTACTTGGAAACAGCCAATTTCATCGTGCCCATCGCAATGTTGATCGTTTGGATTACTACTTTGTGTGGTGCCATCGGAAGGTGTCGCAACCCCAGCTCGTTTCTGCAAATACTGTTGATATGCTTGGAAGTCTTGTACCGATGGTGCTTGTGTGGTTGTCGATGTGGTTGGTACAGTGTCCTCTGCATTTGGATAGAATATTTCTGCAACTAACAAACTAACCCAACGTGGTGAGGATAAGCAACCGCCATCCAAATAGTGACAACGTGCCTGTATGCAACGAGTGACTTCCACAGTTTGGGTGAAATAGCCCTCATATGGTATCTGCACAACATAACGCCAAGAACCTTGATAGTTTTTAGCAAAAACTGGTGTTGCATATTCTACTTTTGCTGGACATGGTGTAGGTGGACCTTCATAGCGTATAGGTCCAACTTCTTCACGACGTTCTGCTACTGGTGTTGAAGCTGCTGAGGACGTGTCACCTTGAATGGCGCGATATAAGGTGCAAAAACTGAAATGTTTGATTTAAATTAAATTAAGAAAATCAATATTTGTTTAGAGAATATAATTTTAAAAATGTAATACTTACACTCCACCACCATCACAGAATTTTCTTGGTTTACGTTCTTCTGCTGCTTGTCGCTTATGATTTGCATGTTCTTCTTCATCTAAAGCCGGATCAAAGTAACTATATTCATGTTCTTCAATTTTGGATTGCGATTGTGATGGCACGGCTGCTCGTCTTACCCTCACATTATAATGTCGCTCTATATTATTGTTGTCCAGTTGATCCACAGGCTCATCAGGTATAATTTGTGTTACTTTCGGTAAAGTGTCATCAGCTTTGAGTACTGGTAAAGTTTTGGATAAGAACTTCAAAGTCTGATTACGTATTAACTCACTGAAAGTACAGATTTATAAGAGGTTGTTTTTAGTTATTGGTTTTGTAAAGTTACTTACAATGGATAAGGTTCACCCAATACATTTTGTTTCATAGGATTTTTAGGTATTTGTCCTTTATTTAAATCTCCGCATATATTGTAAACTGAAACAGCTGATTTTTTCTCTGTTCCAACATTCTTGCACTCAATGCTTACATGTGTGTATGGAGGCGGTCTGACTTTCGGTGGTATGGCATTAGGCGATTCTACGAATGCGTAATAACCTTCTGGTGGTTCATCTAAATCTGTTGGTGTTTGACTCAGTACTGCACTGACGGAGAGTAGCAGAATGCATAATACCTTCTGAAATAAAAAATTTAAGATTTTTGCATATTTACTTTAATATCTCATACTTTTTGTATATAAATAGATAATGATAGATAAAGAAATTGTTTGTATTATTTTATTTTAATATAAAAAACTTCAGTTGAAATATCAACTATTAGTAAAAATATTATGGATTGCCGGAAGTTTTTTCTGAGAGGTGGTTTTAGTGGATTCAAGAAATATGGATAATATGCTTATGTAGAATTATCAGAAAGACATTAATTTTATACTTCTAGTTTTAGAAGTATTGTTTTAGAGATGTCTCGTTTTAGATGTATCTCATTTTAAAGGTATCACGCCTTAGAGGTATTTCGTTTAAATGTAACTTGTTTTAGATATATCTCATTTTGAAAGTATCTCGTTTTAGAGGTATCTCATCTTAGAGGTATCTCGTTTTAGAGGTATCTCGTTTTAACGGTATCTCGTTTTAGGAGTATTTAATTTTAGAGGTATCTCGTTTTAAAACTACTTTATTTTATAGATATCTCGTTTTAGATATATCTCGTTTTAGATATATCTCGTTTTAGATATATCTCGTTTTAGATATATCTCGTTTTAGAGGGATCTTGTTTTAGAAGTATTTCGTTATTAAGAAAATTAGTTTTGCAGGAGAAGAGTGCATGATAGAAGGAGAATTCCTTCACAATAATATTCGCAATATATTAATAATACATTATATTATATATTCAGATATCGATGTATGAAAAATGAACCAAAAAAATTGCTTTAATAATTTTAAAAATATTGCTAACCCATTAAAGTATGATAACCATTAGATATCTAAATAAAGGAATTTTAGAATCTAAATTTCAACATTCAATTAATATAAGTTTTCAACCCATTAATGTAGTATAACTAATCAGATAACTATTTAAAGGATTAATAGATTCTTTAATCAACAATGATTCACTATAAGTTTTGAACCCATTAAAGTATGATAACCATTAGATATCTAATTAAAGGATTCTTAGAATCTGAGTTCAACATTGAATTAATATAAGTTTTGAACCTATTCACGTACTATAACCAATTAGACAACTATTTAAAGGATTCATAGATTTTTAGATCAACATTGTATCACTATAAGTTTGGAACCCATTAAAGTATGATAACGTATTAGATATCTAATTAAAGGATTTTTAGAATCTAAATTTCAACATTCAATATAAGTTTTAAACCCATTAATGTAGTATAACAAATCAGATAACTATTTAAAGGATTCATAGATTCTTAGATCAACATTGATTCACTATAAGTGTTGAACCCTTTAAAGTATGAAAACCAATTAGATATCTAATTAAAGATTTCTTAGAATCTGATTTCAACATTGAATTAATATAAGTTTTAAATATAGTGTAACCAATTAGTCAACTATTTAAAGGATTCATAGATTCTTAGATCAACATTGTGTCATTATAAGTTTGGAACCCATTAAAACAGTATAACCAATTAGACATCAAATTTAAAGATTCTTAATAAGTATTCAATGAGTTCTCTCTTTTAAGAGGTTAAGAGTTCTTTCAGGAACAGTCCTCAAAAACTCTCTGCCTATCGGTGCACATAATTATAAGCATATACATATATGTTTATGTACTTACTGGCTATTACTCATAGCGTGCATACGTCATATAAAATTTTAGCATATCAAGCTTATATGTAAATAAAAGATCTATTCACACTAACTTTAAAAACAAGACCCGCTTAAATAACTTGAAAGCACTTAAGTACAGCAACAGAGTCATTTGCGGTGTTCAGAAGTACTCATACATATTCAAATCGGTAATGGAAAACAAAAACAACAAAGCCAGCCACAAAGCCAGTAACCAGCAGCCAACAGCCGACAGCCAACAGCCGACAGCAGCAATAACAACTTAAGAGAGTGAAAGCTTAATTGTACAAGAGATAAAGACATTGCTTTTTTGTTAACTTTTATTTTCTTGGTATTTTCTCAAATGACCAACAATAAAAACAATAACAAACTACCTTTTGTGAAAAGAACATAAAACACAACAACAATACGGCTGCTGTTGTTGTACAATAAATGCAAAACTAATTTTTTTTCACTTCGTTTTTTTTTTCTAAGCAATAACATTTAAAATTACCAAAAACTTTCGCCATTAAAGGGAAGCACACGATAAAAAAGCACAAATATGATTTTAATTGAACTGGTCGTTTAACAAAGAAGGCAATTATGCTTAACTAAATAAAAAGTAAATGACGAAATAATAAATATCTTAATTAATTTTTAGTTACTGAAACCCAAATATTATATTCCATTCTTCTCTTAAAATCTTGTTTTATAAGGCAAGTATTTAATATTAAGTCAATAGTCAATTTTAATTAAATAAAATTCACAATTACACTGATTTAGGAGAGATCTAACTTGATTCATAACCCCACTCTACGCCTTGACTCTATGCATTGTTTAACACTTCATCAGACTAAACAATGCAGACCTCAGATCTGCATACCTCCTCGGGGAGCTTGTAACCATTCTGAGATTCGATAACACGGTGTTGGTAAGCCTGTCAGTTTTTCTAAATATTTAAGGGCTCTATCCTTTATGTATGTTTTGTTCGGATCCATCTTGAGGTCCCTGAGAATATCATTCGTCATAATGCACCGTTATACCTTGAAAAGTCTTCTTTATGCCTGGCTTTGTGTGATTTCTAGCTGAATATTAATTTCAATGAATTTAAATCACATAATATGATTAAATTATTTTTTATTTGATTGTTTTCTCCCTTTTAAACTCTCTTATCTATACAATAGTATCTTATACTCTCTTATATACACTATAGTGTTTTACATAATATTTATAAAACTGTGAAAAATTGCTTATTATGGATGGGGGAATAATTTCTGCTGACCTACAACTAAAATAATATATAGTTGTATAAATTTAAATTCAACTACAGAAAGTACAACCACCTCGCGAAAGGGACTAGAATAATCTCCATTTAAGGCATACCTGTCACAGAGGTGACTACAATCCAATAAGTACAACACGATACTGTTTGGAATATAAATGGTAGTCAGCGAGATTTACTGGCAGCACCGACCAGATGTGTAAAACTGGTACAACGGCGGTCAGGGCTCTCAGCTTCAGTTGTGCAGACCAATTGACCGGTTTAATGGGAGTATTATGATGTTAAAACTCGGAATTACACTTATAGACTATATACCATATATACCTTTCAGTCGGTGTAGAGTTACATTTTCCAAGCGAATGCTATGCGCCAAAGGAGTGCAGAACAGTTAGGTGGGTCTCACTATGTCTCAAGGAGAAAACCTTGGGAGGAAACTATATAACCATATTGCTTCACTTGGTATTGACGGAACTTAACTGAGGGGTTTATCCTCGCATTATACTAATATTTATGTTAATAACATTGTAATAATAAAGCTTAATGGCTGGTAATCACGGTAAAAAACTATGCTTTATACTGCTTTTTAGTGAAGCAGTAACATGGACAAAATTTGCATTAACAAAAGAACTATTAATCAAAGGAATGCTAACATATAATTAGAAATTTATCAAACTATTTTTATACAATATATATTCATATACATATAATTAAATTAAATAGTTATAATTAGTTGAAAGATTAAATTTAATAACATTAGCTCTTTTCAGTTTTCACTTTAAGAATTTTATGTTAAATGATATAATTATTTAGATTTAATTATAATAGAAATAATGATAGTTTCATAGAAATTTAATTTGTTTTTTGTTTTCTTTATGAAATTCTATATTTTCACACCATAAATTAAAAAATTAAAATTTAAAAAGTTATTACTCACTCTACTTCAAATACAATTTAATTTTAATGGTAATTAATTTATATGAATTTTTATAAATTTTTATTTTATATCCGAAGAGAAATTTTTACTTTCTCATGAATTGCAGTTTTCAGATGACACTTTAAATAAAAATGTTTTTAGCAATAAAATTGCTTATATTCAACGGTATTTATTTATGATAATTTATTTTTATTTTATTTTCGCTAAAGAATTTGGGACAAAACCATAAATTCTCACATTAAACGCATTTTTTATTTAAATAAATTTAAAAAATATAAATTATGCACACAATATTTATAAGTCAATATATAAAATATTATATTAAATATTTAAATTCTTAAGCTGTGATGAGCTTCAACTGTTAAACATTGATAAATTGTTATTAATAAACATCTTAAATTATTAAATATTTAAACTTCTTGAGCTCTCTCTGTATAAGCTTTATAAATTGTAATTAATAATTTATACGACAAACTCAATTTCAAATTTAATCATTATTTTAATAAATTTAAATAATTTTAGAGATATCCTTAATAAGAATTTAATAGACCACGCTACATAACCCTAATTTATTTTCGTATTAAAAAACAAGAACAGATATGTTATCTGTTATTTCTACATTTTTCTAACATTAAATTTTATGTCTGCCTTAAAATAAATAACTAATTTAAAAATAAGAAAATATTTCTCACATTTAAATTTCTATTTTCTTCTAATTGCAAATAATTATATTTTTAACTAATTAATACAAAAATTTATCTTATTAAGATACAAATTTGCTATTAATTAAAACTATGTCAAAATCACTGGACTGAAAAATCCAAACGAAATTTTATATTTTTAATTTTTTTTTTATTTATATATTCTATGTTTTGACCTACATTTTTTATAATTTCATATGCAAAGCAATGAATCACTTGAAAAAAGTATTTCACTGAGGCTGCAAAGCGGGCTTTTAATGAGATACAAATGAAGAAAAAAAACAAAAAAAAAACACAAAATGAAAAGTAAACAAATTCGAAATTCCACAGACAAAAAAAACCGAAAAAGAAACTCGTTACAAACTCCCACCAACAAAAAAGGTCATGTTATCTTGGCTCGTCTGTTCGCTCCATGGATTCCGCTTTTATGAACTTCTCAAGAGCTCACTTTTAATTTCACTTAAATGCTACGGAAATTTCTCTTTTTGTGACCTTTAAATGTGGTTCAGATACATTTTATGGAAATATTGAATTTTTAAAAGTATAACAGGTACTTTTAAGAATATTTATACCTTCTTTCAGTGGATATTATAATTTATAGAGCATCAATTAAAGTGTTTAAGCATAATATTTTTATTTGTATTTTTATTGTTTTTATATTTTATTTTACTCCATTTATTTAATTTTATATTACTTTATTTTATTTCATAACATTTTATATTATTTTTTATTATATTAATTTATGTATTGTATTATTTCATTTTATTTCGTATTATTATATTTCATTTCATTTATATTATTTTATATTGTTTTATTTTATTTTTCATAAATTATTTTTTTATATTCTTTTATTTATATTTATTATTATTTATTTTATTTCATTTCATATTATAATATTTTACTTCATTTATTTTATTTTTATGCTATTTTATAATGTTTTATTTTATTTCATATAAATTTTTTTTTATTTTATTTTGTTTTATTTAATATAATTTCATATTCATTTTATTTTACTTTTATTTATTTAATTTTTTATTGTTTTATTTTATTTCATATTATTGATTTAATTTTATATTATTTTTTATTATATTAATTTATATATTATTTTATTTAATTTCATTATCGTTGCATTTTACTTCATTTATTTAATATTATATTATTTTTTTTAATATTTAATATTTTTTATTATATATTATTTTAAATTGCAATAATTTGCTTCATTTATTTAATTTTATGTTATTTTTATATTGTTTTATTTTATTTTATATAATTTATTTTATTTTATTTTTTTCTAATATTTTTATTTTATTTGTCTATATATTTTATTTTTTATATTTTTTTATATCTTATTTTTTTTTATTTTTTTTTTATTTTAATATTTTTAATTTACTTTTTCAAAATATGAACCAAGTGTTTTATCCTAATTAAAAACAATAATGTACGGTTTCTTAGCAGGTATTGCTAAATATGTAGTTATAGAATATCTAAACAACTCCTGGACACTCCAATTCTGAAAGTAGTCTTACACTGGACATATTTTGAATCATTATAGTGATATTTTATAGGCTACTGAATATATGACTATGGTTTCAAAAATGCAATTAAAACTTTCTGCATTATTTTGGATTTTACATTAGATTGCTAGGAAAATATTCTATTCATTTGCAGTAAGCTAAAGACATATCTACACTGCTATATGTCGAAAAATTCAGAAACTCAAGGAGTCGTATCTTATGCAGCGAATTTATCGGTGATGTGATTATCTGGGAAACGACTATTACTTCTACCCACTATTTTTTTGGCTGCTATGAAGGGTGTTTCTATTTCCATTTGATATAAGGACTTTCCAACATGAAATATTCTAATCCTTATTAAAAACGCAAAATATCTGCTATAGGGTAGGTTTAATTATAGTACGAGTATAAAAAAAATATTATGGTCACACTGCTAGTGAGAGTATAGATTCTCACTTTATTCCATTTTATTATAAGTAAACTATGTCCTGACAACTAAATAATGAGAATTTTATAATATCTTCCTTAATCTCAATCATTCAAATTGAGATCCAATGTATTCTAAAAATGACTGGGTAATAGCATCAAAAAGTGATATTAAGAACATAAATAAGAGCGTTATCTTTTTTTTTATTACTATATTTTATATTATTTTATATATTTGAAAAAAATTTTTATTAGCATCTTGCATAGATAATTTTTGAATTTATTTTCCTCATATAATAAAAACTGATATGTTATGTGAAAAGAGCGCCAATTCGTTTTGTGCCTAATTAACTTGTTAAATTCTTAAATAATAACTGTTTTCGTCAGGAAAAAAAAATAAGTTGTCAAATTTACTGACCGACTTTTTTATGTACAAAGAGACGTGTTTATCATGAAATTCACTTAAATATATGCAAATAAACAGCACAAACACACATGCAAACACACATAAACACACACGTACACATATACGGAGCAAGCCATGAGCTCTCATAAGCTCATTCATGTTTATAGGCATTAATAAATAAGCTCGCAAAGGAGCACAAGAATGTGAGAAGAATTGTTCTAAATAAATTGAAGGTAACGGGAAAGTTGTTCGCATTTTACGCTGTCAAATGATATACCCAATGTATTAACAACCACTACACTAACAACTTAAATCACAATATTATCATGGCTAATACAGACATTTCTTTTTTTCTTTTTTCACTTCAAATTTTTTAATTCATTAGCATACAAAATGATACAGTTGCCGCTAAATTCTTGCTGCTTATGCTTTGTTGCTGGTGTAGTTGTAGCAGCCACTGTTTTTGTTATTGTTGGCTCTGTATCTCTGTATCTATTGCTTTATAATACTGTTTCGTTTTGAATTGTATTTTTTCTTCTTCTTTACTGTAAATCTTATAACAGTCTTATATTCTTTCAAAAAAAAAAAAAAGAAAAGTTTTGCTTAGAAAAAAGTTGCAATACTAGAAAAGTGTTAACAACTTGTTGCATGACTACAGAGTACATGCAATAGCAAACAACAAAAGACTTAAGAAACGAACTTCTGAAAGGAAGTCACCATGCATGCATTTTTGCAACTCAATAATAATAATAATAATAATAGTAATAATAACAACAACAACAGTGATTACATATTTTATAATAAAAACAATAAAATGCCTTTTAAAAAAAATATATTAAGAAAAATGCCAATGAACTATTGGAAGATAAAGTAAAAATGTTAGAGTGTAACTTGTTAACAAGAATATTTTGTAGTTTTATTCACACAATATATTAAAACAATTATTAAAACAACAAATTATTTAATTTACGGTTTAATTTATTTTTCCGCAATAAAATTTTTTGAATAAAATGTTTAGTGGTTTAAATAAATGTTTTGTTTAGTGAGATTACAGAAACGACTTCTTTTACACGCTATGATACCAGTTTTCACGACCTAGTTTCCATTTTTGGTTAACCAAGTTCTTTCATCTAAACACTTTGGAATAAAAAAGCAAAATATATGTTTTATATCTTTGCATTTACATATATTAAGAACCAATTATAAATAAATTTAGGTTTAAACATTAAAACGCTGAGTTAATACCCGGAAGATGACTATACCCTAGTTACCTTATATACCTACTCTGTAGTAAAAATATTGATGAAAATAATAACCCAATTAACTAATAGTCAATTGAGTCATAAGTTCGCTTTAAAAATAAAAATAATAAACAATAACTTAGTCAAAATTAGTTAATAAATTAACGAAATTTTATAAATAAACATTAATATAATATTTTTTGGTTAATAAAATTGTTATTCATAATTAAATAATGGATATCGCTTACTTTACAGTAAGTAATCCGTTTGATAAGTGTTGTCATTGTTTTTTTTATTTATTTTGTATAAACTTTATTTAAAATCGTACAGATATACCTTTTCCTTATATTGATTAAAATATCCCTAAAAAAGTAATAAAAATTAAAAAAAAATATAATAAAACATAAATAAAAATTATTTGCATATTGATTTGGTATCCTTATTATATATATATATTGTATATTATATATATTATATAATATTATATAAAATAAAAATAACTAAACTAAAAGGTATATAAGCAGGAATTCTAAACATTTAAGTTGAATAAAATTTTAACTACATACTATGGTAGTATTATTATTGTTTATTTTTAGTAAATAAAAATTTCCCTAAAAATATATAATTATAAAAAAATTAAATGTAATTATATAAAAAAGAAAATTACTAAAATAATAGGCATATTGACACAGCATCCTATATATTCACGTTTAACAAAATTTAATATATAAAAATTTTCATGATAATATTGTTATAGTGAATTTTTAATATTGTTCAAAATTTTCCTTAAAATACAATAAAGAAAAAATAAAAAAAATTGTATAAAATAAAAAAAAAATTAAATAATAAATGTATGGACATGGCTTTTTAACAGAACTTCTTGAAACTCATGATTTAAAAATTAAAAAATAAAAATAAAATAAACAAATAAATGTAGGATTAAAAAATAATATGCATATTGAAAAAGTTAACAATGAAAAATATTCTTTTCCTTTAATATTTTTAAATAATTTTATATAAAACAGTTGTACACATAATCACAGTATTCCTTATATGAGATTGCTATTAAATTGTTTATATAAACATTAATTAAAATAATTTCGAATTAATCACTTATTAACTTCAATTGTGTCTTATATTGTATACTCAATTGTATACTTATAAGTATATTTTATAAATTTGATTATTTTATAATTACGAAAAAAATTAATTATGATAATTAAAACTATTCTCATCATTTATCCTTTAAAAAGAATTTTCAATACTGACTTAAAAGATATATAAAAATTAACACTCCATATGCACATACCAATATGAGACGATAATCCATTTTACAAGAACTCTTATAGTAACAATATTTTTCTGAATACTTAATATTAAATAATTTATTGATATTAAAACACTTTTTAAATTCTATTAATTTTTTTCAGTTATGAATTTATATTTCTACACTTTCTTTAACTCGGTAAGTAGTACAATTCTCGTAAAGTGCTGCAACTTGACTAAATGTAAAAAGCCAATGCTCCGAAAGTTGAACCTTGTAAAGATACAAGCTATCGTCTTGTTCATTGTCATGGCCATTAGTTTTCTTTATCGTTTGCATTGAGCTCCAAACTCAATCTCAAAAGTAATCTATTTTCTCTTCATACAATTTTTGAGTAAATTAAAACTCTCTTAATTTTTTCAGTGACTCTGTTGTAACTGTAAAGATATGACAGTGGCTTGAAAATAATTCTTATAGGTTAAAAACGAAGATTAGTAAAACTTTTAGGTGTAAATGTATAAATTTATAAATAAATTTAATATGGTTTTTTATGAAGCTTCAAAGATTAGTATCAGCCTCTTTTTTTATTTAAGAAATATTATATACATAACACTTTAGAAAGTGGATTCCAACCGGTGATCCGGGAGATGGTTAAAAATGGACCATAGTTTGTCCAATGAGACTTCACTTATTAGAAAATCCAAGTAATTATACCCCAATTTTATTCTATATATAATGTACCAATATACTTATACACTTCATTATAGATTACATCAAAGATGCACATTAAAACACATTAAAAAAGTCATACAGTTTATTTTTCTTGAACGTTGGGGTCCCTACAAAAACCAAAAATATCAAAGTGATCCTTGGTCAAAAAACCGTTGAGATCACTGTTTTAGAGGATTTTAATTTCAATACTAAGCGAATTAGTAAAATAAGAAATATAATCTCTGTCCTGTTGAGATCAGATTTCAATAAACGGACAAATAGGTAACTGAAATGGTTAATGTAGAAAGCATAGGAGTAGTCAAAGTGAAAATATGGAGCGGAGGTGTCTGAAGTAATATTTCAAAATAAAAAGAGTGTATTTACGATTATAGATTCTGTTTAAGTTTTAAAAATATATATATCTTAAAATTTTGGAAAATTATTTCCAAAAATAATTTTCAGTTCTATTACCTGGCTACGTTTATGTCAGAAATGGTATATATATATATATCAATCAGTAGTTTTCAACTTTGTCTTATCTCACCTTTTTATATTTTATCATATTCTTACTACAAGTTCTTGGATATTAAGATATAGTACTTATGGAAAAAGTTATATGAAAATTTTTAAAATAATATATTAACAAGGTAATGATTTCCATTCTGAATTGACCGTTTTGACTATAGGTGGAAACTAGTTAAGATATAAGATATGTTAAGATATGTCAGGATAAATTAACTATATTCTTATTTGACAAAATTAAAAAACTATCACTTTGGTTTATCAAAGCAACAGTTTTGTCAAAGTAATTTTTTAACAAATAAATAAATTCAATAACATCCTATTTATAATATCAATTACTTCTAAAACATAGTGGTCATGTTTAATAGTATAAAGTTTAAAACAAGTCGCAATGATAGATACTAAAAGAATAATGACAATAGGACTTAAATTGATAAGTGGTATGTGAAGATCAACATTATCATAGACACTGAAATAGAAGTATATTTTTCATTATAACAAGTGTGTCCATCGATTTAATATTGAGCCGATATCATTCAGTTGGGCAATCCTAGGCTCCGACCATCCCAGTTCACATCACACTTCCAGCGCATTCGACATATAATTCGCTGCCATCTGTTATAAATCTCCTTGGGCAGTAGAAAAAAAAGGATCAAGTTATTCTATTATAAGATATATAAAAAAAATGTGATAATATAAAAATACTGGCAACACTAAAAGAAGACCATATAGAGGAAGAGCGGTTGATTGAGGTATTTGTATATTCGCCTTCTATTCAGTTTATTCAACATACAATACCGGCAGCTATAATTATACGTATGAATATAAAATTAACAACAACCAGAAGAGGTTAAGAGTTGTAAAAGGTTAATGGTAAATGTGATCTTTGACGTTCTTCTTGTTTTATCTTATTAAGAAACAGATAAATTATCTAACGATTATCTCAATAGTATTCTTTTTAAATTTATATTGTCAATTGAATATGATAATGCTATTAAAATCTCTTAAAAAATGAGATGAAACATAATTTTAAGCATGAAATATATTTATGATATCAGCAGTGATGATTTATCACCTCTTAAACATTAAATATATTTCATGATCTGAGTTACTAAAAAATAAGTCGATATAGAAAGTTTTTGTTTTCAATAATCATGTTTATCTTATATATTTATTCTTTAAGTTATTTTAAAAATATTCACCGGCTTTTGCATATGTTCTAGGACAATGAATTTGAGCTGCCAGATCATAAGCGACATTGGAACCAACTTTCATCTTTCGGTGCTGAGAAAATTTATTCCATAAATGTAGTACAATTGAGTTCTGAGTTCTGTTTAACATTTGATCGAGGAGTGCTTCATCGAAAAAGAAGTCTAATTCTTCAAAATTTATTTCATAAAAAGCATTACGTGGATAAACATTAAAGTCTTTGCAACATTTCGGATTATTTATCATTTTTAAAATATCATCTGTGCAGCATGTGCGCTTTAAAACTCTGGTAATTAGGCTCGGTCCATTGTGCGCCCAATAAATAGCACTAAACTTTTGTTGATAATCCAGTAGAAATTGCTCTGCAAGCTTATGACCATCACCATTACTTGAAATTTTCAGCACAGCTTGGTTAATGATATCTTTAGATTGGATGCCAGCATAGTTATGCGGCATGGATTCTAAGCTTTTTAGTGTTATAGTATCTAAATCGAGATAAGTGCCACCATACCGCCAAAGCAATAGCAAACGCAAAAAATCAGAAAGATGTATAGTAATAAAGCTATAAAATTTATTAAAATATTATGTTAATGTAAGACTAATCCTCGTTTAAAGACACAATTTATTACTTACTGAGATTCAAACAGTTTTCCAGTCTTAAACCACTTCTCCATAGGTGTATCATTAACAAAAGACCACAGGTTAACATTTCGTATATATACATTTTTATAAAAGAGAAGAGTATCTAAAAGTGGTTCTCTTACGTATTTATTTCTATACCTCCGATTTGAATAAACTAAAAATATATTCGATTTTGGATTATGTATTGCAGCTGATTCTATAGCACATATTTGACGAGTAGTCAGATTGATGAGGTTCGGTTCATACATGTTAACAGAAGGACAACTTGTTTCAACAAAAAATATATTCTCTCCAGACGTTGGCTGAGGCAGTCCTTCAAGAATATCAGGTAAAGGTTCGATACTTTCTTCTATTTTTTCATATAAAATGGAACTGTTATGATTATAACACTGAAAATTTTTTAATCGTTTATTTAAATAGTTTTCTTTCGCATAGTTTTGTATCGTACAAACTAATAAGAATATAAGCAAAAAATAGACGACCAATTTGAATATATTTTTAAATATTAAGTTTTTCGGTAAAAATTCTCTCGGACGTTTATTAAACAACATTTTTCTTTAAACCGAATACTTTATTTCATCGATAAGTAATGAATTGCAAAACTTATGTATCTATGCGTTTTACTAACATTTTGCAATTTGCATTGTTATAATGTTAATTCAGCTGCATAAATATAGTGTATGGTAAATAAACATAAACGTAGTAGATAAGAACTTAGACTAGAGGGATTAAACAATTTGTTAGTTAGAAAATTTTAACAGTATATTTATTTTATTTATATAAATTCAATAAATTAATTTTATAGTCCTAAGAATTAATATTTTTTTAATCATTTTTCAAAATATATTAACAAAATTTCTATAAACAATTAAATTAAGGCCAGATCTTAAGAGGAGCTCACCGGTTCTTCAACACCCCCCTGGTTACGCCTATGCAAATTATTTATTTGATATTTAATGTTCTAATATAAATATCTTATCTCTAAGCTTACAATTATTTGAAAACAATAAAGCACATAGCGAATATGATTATAATCTACCTATATTCCATTAAACTTTTATAACGCTTCAGTTTTATCTTTTCTTCTGTATGTTATATTTTAACACATTTGGTTCCTTATTTTTCACATTATTTTGATAATATTAGTCATTTTTATGGTTGACTTCACTGATATATATTTTACAATAAATTTTTTTAACATTAATTGTAATCAAGTAATGTCTTTCAATATAAATGTTGATCTGCACAAAAAAATTTTTAATTGTAACATATATTTAGATCAGATCTTACCTAACCATTATTAAAATCATAAACCACAGAGTTCTAAGTAAGTTCAGCACACTTAGTTTTGACAACCTTTCAATACTATATTAACAACTATTATTTTTACAAAACAAAGGTCTTAAAAGTGTGACAGTTCTTTCGTTTGAAGGATACCTTAATAAAATATTAAAAGATAAATAATAGACCTATTAAAACTCATACTATTTAAACACCAACTGCTCCCACTTTTATTGAAAAAAGATACACCCAAACCTTATTATGCAAAGAAATGCGTAAATGCATAATTTTAATCACACTTCCGTTTATCCTTTCAAGCTCCAACATATAATTAACATAACTTATTCAGGAACTATTATTATCACTTGCAACACCCCAAACCAATAATCAATCACATATTTTGTATTTTAGCACCTGACGACACCCGTTATTTAAATCCATTTCGGAAAAGGTATATAAAGTGAAAACATCATGAGTAATGGTTATAAATTATAATTAATCCTTCTCGTGCGATGTTGAAAGTAATCCATCCATTGGACGATAATTCATTGTCGTTGACAATACCAATAATACAGAACCGACGTGAGGTTAAAAATCTTGTAATTCAAGAACTTAATAAAATTCCAATGTTGGCTATCAACTTGCGTTTAATACGCTTCTTGGGCTTACTTTATGATCATAACTGGCGCCGTTATGTCGCAATTATCTCAACGGGACTATTCAATCTATCGCAGCTCCTTTGGATGTTCACTAGTCATGCACCTGTGGAAATATTTATACATTACGCCTACATGCTAGTCCTCTGCATGAACACGTTACTACGCGGACTTTCGATACTTTTGCAGAAACGCAAATATGAGAGATTCCTTTTCGAATTAATTGATTTATATCGTGAAATTTTAGTAATGAATAATATAAACATATATACATAATACAATTATATATTAATATACTTGTTTTTGTTTCTTACAGAATAGTGGTGATATATATTTAACAGATTTGTTAAATCAAACAAATAAAAGTGGTCAACGTGCTGCTATTATTAATTTAATACTGGGGGCCTCATGCTGTCTATCGGTCTGCTTATTTATGCTTTCAAACGAAAGGTGTAAGTACAAAAGTCTCTTATGATTAGTTAATAATTTTTTTTAAAAACAATTTGAAAGATTGGAACTTAATTAATTTAAATTAATATTAAGATTTTGTTTTGTATTTTAGATTAGTATAAGTGATTAAAGAATCTTAAGGGAATAATATACCTACTTTATCAACCTATATAGTTTTCTTAAATGTTCAATTTATTAAAAAGATCTTCAGACTTGGAAACTTAAGTTGGCAGGGAAAAATAACATAAATAAAAATGAATTTATAAATATATTTTTAAAATTTTGCTCTATATCGACTATAAACCTCAATCACAAGTAAAAAGTTGATATTGAGAATATACTTTTTTATGTATTCGCTACTTATGAAATTAATTTTACATTAAATAATTATTTTTCTTATATGTTTTGTATATGTTATATATATAAGGTATCTTTTTGATAAATATATTAGGCTTCTACTTCTCAACAACATAAAATTGTTAATATTGTTTTAACTTTTACCATTGAAGGTTAAACCCTATGAACTATAAAATTTGAATGAGTCTGGTAGTTGGTCGTAGAAAAGTGTATACCAAAACTTGGATCTGGCCGCTCCTATTATTAATAGTGAATAAACATTTTATTTACTATTGCTTTTCGTTTGGCCAATGTTTCTCTTATATATTTTATTTAAATAGGGCATCATTTGGTATTTTAATAAAATAAACAAATATGTTAATGGATTAACAAATATTAGAAATAAACTGAGACAATTGACGATCAGAAACAAGAAACTTGGTATTATGGTATTTACACCACTTACATCTCTAATATTTATTTTGGATTTTTCTACATTTATATATTTTATTTCTCTTATTTGTTTACTTTCTTAAATTAAACATAAAATATTAAATAAAAAAACTTTATAGAATAACATATATGTTAGATATATATTAATAATATTTGATATATTTTGTTAGACATATATTATGTATTTAATATATATTAAACATTTTTAGTGTTACCTTATGGAAGTTACATACCAGGTAAATAATTCTTATGAGTTATAATAAAAAAACAGTTATAACTGTTAATATATTTATACTTATTATATCAATTACTATATGTTTTATATTTTACAGTATATTTTTAGATATATATAAAATGGATATATATATATATCCATATACTTTTTCAAAAAATTTAATATTATTTAAAAAATATAACATTTGCATTAATATAAAACAATTCATTTTTGAAGGATTGAACACTTTGGAGTCACCAGTTTTTGAAATAATGTACGCCTATGAATTGGCACTTGCTCCAATAGCTGGAATGTTATATATACCCTTCGGCAATCTCATCGTTGTACTGATTATGTTTGGTATTTTAATGTGTAAAGTTTTGCAATATCGTTTAAGAAATCTACAATACGAAGACCATAAGAACATAAATGATAAGTTGATATGGTGCATTAAATATCAGCAAACAATAATCCGGTAAATACAATAAAAATAATTCATAATATATTATTGGCTATTAATGTAAATAAAATTCTATTTATGTTAAATTATTATTTAATTTCCAGTTATGTCCATATACTGAACAGTCTAACCAACTTTGTATTTCTGATTGAGTTTTTAACTTTCATGATTCTACTATGTGGTATCTTATTTCTGCTTAATATGGTAAGAAAATAGAATATTGAAATAAGAAATATTTAACATGAAAAACAAAAATGTATTTGAAATAAAAACTAAAAAATATCGGTTATCTTTCGGTTAAAAACCAGTGCTTCGAACCGGTATTTTTTCCGTTCCGGTTTTCGTTCCGACAAAAATATCAGTTTGAAGCCCTGATAAAAATTATTGATTAAAAACCTATTAAAATAAAATATTTAGTACAAAAAACTTCTAGTTTTTATCTATCATATGACATGAATTGAGTATAGATAGACCGCCAAATAAAATATGCGATTTCATATTCACCACTTCAAATATATATTTATACATTATTGTAATACCTAATCGCTTTTTGTTTCGTTATTATTATTTTAAAATCTTTGTGATAAAAAATCTCAAATTAAACTTGACTTACATTTTTGATAATATCATTTTAAACAGCAGCTATTAATTTTCATTAACATAATCCATATCCATACGTAATATCTTTATGTATTAATCTCTCATATATTATTATTATTCAAAACAGGCTCAACATGCAAGGCAAATAATAATGTCTGGAACACAAATAACGATGCTTTCTTCACAAATTTTGATGATCTATTGGTATGCAAACGAGCTAAGCGATGCTGTAAGTTTTTATTGGAAAAACTTACTTAATTAAAATATTTTATACGTATTTTGTTCCTACGTATAGACATCCAATATAGCTGTAGCTGCTTATGATACACCATGGTTTTTATTGCCGAATTCTTTACAAAAGAAGTTTTTGATATTAATAATGCGAGCTCAAAAACCTTGCAATGTAAATGTAGCAACCACTCAAAATAAATATTATTTTATCATATATATTATATTACAGATGACTATAGGGAATATAAATCCAATGTCTTTGCAACTTTTTCAGTCGTTGATAAACGCATCATATACTTACTACACGATATTAAGACAAGTTTATAAATAAAAAAATAAAATATTATTTTAATATTTATGATAACTTAATATAGAGTTTTTTATATAATACTGAAGTGAAGCTTAATAAAGAAGCTGAGTATACTAAACAGTGTTTTTACTATGATTAAAACAGATTTATGAAAGAGTTTGATTCCACCACTGCTATCTACATATTCTTTATAGATTATGTGTAAAAAGAATTTGAAATTATTAAATAAAAGGTAGAAAAAATCAATTAAAATAAAAATATTTTATGTCACCCTCAAAGTTGGCTCCATAAATTGCAAACAACTATACAACGGTCAGCACGCGCCTTCCGCACCTAACCTAACATAAACCAACACTTAATACTACAATCCTCTATACATTTTTTGTAGACTGATAAAAATATGACTTTAAAATCCTTAAGCGAATTTTCTACTAATTGTCTTTAAACGTAAGCCAACACCTGTCACAATCCTACATATATTTTTCTCAGACTGAGTTATAACGCTCAACTCCTAGACAATTTCTGATCGTAATCGACTAGAAACGCCTTCTTGAAGTAGTAGTTTTCAGTTTAAGAACAGAATAATGTCATACGGCTTATATTAATTGTAGGTCGGTGTTTTGTGATCATATTTGAACATTGCACAAAGGTGGGTTTGCTCCATCGCAGAAGACTGGGTTCTGTAGCGGTATCTTTTCTTTTCTTTTTAAAATTATAAATCAGACCGAGAAGCTAGCCTTGCTGATGGGTTGTGATGCCAATGCCCGGCACTCCTTGTGGGGAAGCTCGGAAATTAACGATAGAGGTGAGTCTCTTTTTGATTTTATATTAAAATGTAATCTAGAAGTATGTAATAAGGGTAACACTCCCACCTTCATTTTTCCGAGTACGGATGATCGTGTAGGGTGGGAAGAGGTTTTAGATATTACCCTTTGTTCGACTTCGTGCTCTTTAACGATCAATGATTGGAGAGTTTCAACCAGGAACTCCTTCTCTGATCATAGATATATCATGTTTGTGATGAATATTCCCATGGTAGCTAAGCAATCTCACCGTAATCCCAGGAAGACAAACTGGGATACTTTCAGGTCTTTGCTCAATAGAAAAATCAGCATAGCCCCCGCTCCAATTAACTCGATTAGGGAATTGGAGTGCAGGGTCAACTCTTTGACAAATAATATTATTTCTTCCTTTGAAGCATCATGTCCTCGCTCGTATGCGAAGAAGTGTAGGCCACCATGGTGGAACGAGAAGCTCTCTTTGCTCCGCAGGAATGCGAGAAGAGCCTTCAACGAAAGCTATCGGACCAAGGTTTGGACTCCATATAAAGATGCTCTTAGGGTTTACAAAAAAGCACTTCGGGAATCCAAGAAATTGTCATGGAATTCTCATTGCCAGCAAATTGAAAGCATTAAAGAATCGGCTAGACTAGCCAAATTGCTAGCAAATGGCCAATCTTGTCCCTCGCTCATTAACAAAGTAGACGGAAATCCAGTTAAATCCCTAACGGAATCCCTCTCACTATTAGTGGATACCCATTTTCCTGGTTCCTCGGGTGATCCCCCAAAGGTATTGCCGTATCGTTCAGCCAATTCTGGCGAGACTATACAGTCAGTGGTATCATCTAGAAGGATCAAATGGGCCATCGATTCATTCTCTCCATATAAAAGTCCGGGTCCTGACGGGATCTTACCAATTATGTTACAATCTCTGGGAGATGTAGCTGTAAATTGGCTGTACGCGATTTTCTGTAGCTGCTTTTCACTTAATCATGTCCCCAGCGGCTGGAGACAAGTTAGAGTAGTTTTTATTCCAAAAGCAGGTAGAACAGGCCATAGTACGGCTAAAGATTACAGACCCATCAGCCTTACTTCATTCTTACTTAAAACTATGGAAAGACTGATCGATGCTCACATCAGATCTTTACACAGTTTCGCTAAAATATCAAGGGCTCAACATGCATATCTCAAAGGTAAGTCCACAGAAACGGCACTACATGAGGTCGTCACTGTGGTGGAGAAATCTCTTGGATGTAAACAATTTACCTTAGCCGCCTTCCTGGATATAGAAGGAGCTTTTAATAACGTCAGTGTGGTAGCCATTCAGGATGCTCTCAGCGAAATGAACATCCCGGCCTGTATCTCCCGATGGATCGCTTCTATGCTTGGGTTTAGAATCATCAATGCAGAGATGGGCAATCTTAGCATTAGGAAGTGCGTCAGTAGGGGTACACCACAAGGGGGAGTGTTATCTCCCTTACTATGGATTTTAACAATGAACTCACTGCTTTTAAGGCTTAACCAGGGTGGAGTCAAAGCAGTAGCGTATGCGGATGATGTTGTCCTTCTGGTAACAGGCATGTTCCCTTCGGTGCTGAGTAGTATCATGGAGGGCGCTTTTATGAACCTTAGTAAATGGGCCTCAAAGTGTGACGTAGGTGTTAATCCTTCTAAGACAGAACTGTTACTGTTTACCAAAAAATATAAAATTCCTAACTTTCCGCTGCCAAGATTAAATGGCCAAAGATTAACTCTTTCGCACAAAGTTAAGTATCTAGGAGTAATTCTTGACACAAAACTTAACTGGAAAGCCAACATCGACGAAAGAATTCGTAAAGCTTGTGTGGCTTTCTATGCGTGCAAAAGGATGTACGGCAAAAGCTGGGGATTGCAGCCCAAAGTGATTCTCTGGCTTTACACAGCCGTCGTTCGGCCAATATTAACATATGGATGTCTGGTGTGGTGGCCTTCATTGAACAAACAGTGCATTGTTCAAAGACTAACCAGAATGCAAAGATCTGCCTGTGTGGGAGCCACTGGGGCTCTAAGATCTTGCCCCACCAGTGCGCTCAATGTAATACTTAACTTGCTACCTATTGATATTTACATCAAGCAAGCTGCTACTCTCAGCGCGCAGAGGCTTAATGATCTAAACTGTTGGCGCTCGAGTGCTTTAGGACATGGTAATATCGCATCACCCTATCCGATAGATGATGTCAGGGTTTCAGACTACCTATGTCCTCGGTTACTATTCGATAATAACTTCGCCACCATAATTCCTTCAAGAGGAGATTGGGAGGCGGGTTTGCCTACAACTCTAGGAAAGATAGCGATCTACACCGACGGGTCTAAAATGGATGAGGGCGTTGGAGCCGGAATCTTTTCTACGGACCTAATGATTAGTAAATCATACCACCTCTCAGATTCCACCTCAATATTTCAGGATGAAGTTTTTGCCATCCTTAGGGCATGTGTTCTTGCTTTAAATATGCGCCTTCACGGAAAAGAGGTCTGTATTCTAACTGACAGTCAGGCAGCTATTAAAGCTTTATCAGCAGTCTGTCTGTCATCAAGATTAGTAGAAGAATGTAAGGAAATTATTTCTGAACTAAGTGAGAGGTCCAAGGTTACTCTAGTGTGGGTTCCCGGGCATTCTAATATTGTGGGAAATGAGCGCGCCGACGAGCTTGCTAGGCTAGGCGCCTCTTCCACGGGTACCCCTATTTCGATCCCTGCCCCTGTCAGCTACGGGCGTAGGCTAATTTGTGACCATTTTTTGCGAAAGGCAAATAGTGAGTGGACCCTTACTCTGTCAGCAGCCAGGTCAAGGGCTACTTGGCCCATTTATTCCAAATATAGAACCTCTGACTTAATCTGTAGAAATAAATCTGAGGTTTCTAAGCTAGTATCTATCTTTACGGGTCACTGGTCCATAGGACGGCATGGAGCCAGACTTGGCCTTTCCTGTGGTACCTCATGTAGTGCGTGTCTACCAACACTTGAAGAAATGACACCAGAACACCTGATGTGTTTTTGTCCAGGTCTGGCCAGAACTAGGTTTAAGTTTCTAGGGGCCCCTTTCTTCAACTCACTTAGCGATATCTCCAGCATCAGCATTGGCCAGATTCTTGCCTTTGTTAATGCCTCTGGTTGGTTCTAGTTTGACTCTCTATCTACTACCCACTTTTACGAGGTTTTTGTGGACTCAAAACGGCTTTCATCCTTAGCTATTTGAGGAGGATTCGTCCTCCCTCCACCACAACTAACTAACTAAAATTATAAATTCTGTATACTTTTTACACAAAATGTACATAAGAACATTGAGGATTTTTCTTTAATAATAATTTTAGTATATCAAATAATACTAGGAATTTTTAATTTTAAATAGATTTTTGGTTCGTATAACCATAGACCAATTATATGATGATATCCAATGTTAAACATAAAATTTTTTATGCTAAAAGCACTATAGTATATCAGGAAGAAAGGCATGGACTTGAAAATAGTACTCAGAATAATACTCTCTTAAAGTAAATGCAATTTATGTTCCATCAAAAAGTTATGCTGGGCTTCAAACTATATTCTATAAAATCAACGGAACAACTCATTATCATATGAGTTGGAACACTAGTTAGTCTCTAATTCGCATTTCATCAAGCAAAGAGCATACATAGGTGTGAGTGACGATAATTTATAATAGATTGTATGACATGGAACGATACGCTTCAAAACCTTAGTCGACATTTATTTAGTATGACGTTAGAGATCTATATATAAGTTCTCTGTGGTGGAGCTAAGCAGTTAGAATCATTATCTTTAATAGACTATAATCTTTATAAACATTACTCATTCCAAGCATATCATAGTTGGCATAATATACGCTTCTGTGGTATTGAAAAATGTTCCAAAATTTTTGCAATGAGAATAAATACTGCTGTTAGTAATTGGAATCAGTTGAACAATAAAAGAAAAAAAATATCAAATGGCAAATACTTAGTTATATTCATAATTGGTGTAGAATATATGAGGGTTTAAAGGAAATAAAACAAAAAATTTAACAATCTTATTAGAGCAATTTTTTTATTTTCGCAAAATCATTTAATTGTATAATGATTCCTAAATTGCTTGAGAAAAATAAATGTGATTATAATTAATAACCGGTCAATTGATAATAGAACTTATGTAGCTTTTTATTTTTCTATAAAATATCCGACTTATTTGAATTGAAACAATGTGCATAGAACAATGTTTGAGGATATACCATTAATCTATATGAGCATAAAAACTCTAAAATTTTGGTCTTTAATTTACGATAGGAGTTGGAGACGTCTAGTTTGTTTATCGATGACAACATTTATGGTATTAACGCAGTTTTCTTATATATTTCAAACTGATGAAGGTATTCAAGCAATTATTAGAAATGCATATTGCACAGTTTTATGGTTCAACACCATCTTTCGTGCTTATATGTTATTACTACACGGGGAAAGATACCAAAATTTAATTGCTTTAATGGTAAAATACTATAATGAATTAAGGGTAAGTTCTTATGTTATCATACCACAGATGTGCAGTATAAAGATCTTAGATAAATATGTACTTATATTACAAAAAATATGAGATTTTTTCTACTTATAGCAATCTAAAGATATGTATATAAAACACCTTCTCGATGAGGCTGATGGAAACGGTAAAATAATGGTACGCGGAAACCTTTTTCTTGGCTTACTTACTTCCATTGGATTTGGTTGTTATCCATTGTTTGCAAATGAGAGAGGTAATATCTAATAATGTAGGCATGATTTAATTTTTAAAATAAAAATATGTTAGATAAGAACTCAACATTAGGGTGCACCGAAAAAATTTAAATCAGATTAGTTATATCATTTTTTAGTTCCTTATTGGAAGGATAACAATTGGAATATATATCTAAGGGCATCGTGACTCGCCTTAAAATTTTTTTTTTTAATTTTTTCCACATCTTTTTTCTTTCCACATCTTTTTTCTTTCCACTAAGGTAATTGAAAACTTAATAACCAATCTAATCAAAAAAAAACTTCGTAGGGTGGTCCTACTGGCCATACTAAATACATACATTCACACTATTTAAAATTCTTCTTTAAATAGTATTAAAAAGGGAAATATTTAGAATAAAAATTTTAAGTAAATAAACTTGAAATACCATATGTAGACACTAAAATATAATATTTAAGATTTAATCACTATTAGCTGTATATAATCATCTATAAATTGGTAAGAAATATATTTTTCCAAATAAATATAGAAAAAAATATATAAAAAATAAGCTAGAGCATTTGTTGAGAGATATATATTTTCAAATTAATATACTTATAGCTAGAGGTATATATATTATATTAATATAAAATTTATATTAAATTCAGTCTTACCATTCGGTTCCATGATTCCTGGAATAAATGAGTTAAAAACTCCATTTTATCAATTTTGGTACGTATACCAGATGACAATGACGCCAATAGGTTGCTGCATGTACATACCATATACAAGTCTGGTCGTTGGTCTAATAATGTTTGGTATTGTTATGTGCAAATCGCTTCAATACCGGTTAAAAACTCTGAAGAATATTGAATATAATTCGCATCAATCAATACAAAACAGTGTAATTGAATGCATAAAATATCAAAATCGTATTATAAGGTAAATTTTCATTAAGAAACATAACGCCGTATATAAATACTTATGTATTTTAGATATATTGAAGTTATTAATCAGCTTACAACGTACGTATTTCTAATAGAGTTTTTGGCGTTCGGTACATTGCTCTGTGCACTTTTATTCCTTCTCATAATTGTATGTCTATTAATTTATGAAATAAATCATTAAATGTATAACTTAATTTTATTGACGTATTCATATGAATTGATCTTTTTAATTAGATTGATTCTACTGCGCAAACAGTGATCGTTTGCGCATATATCAGTATGACATTTGCACAGATCTTAGCTCTGTACTGGTATGCAAATGAACTACGAGAGCAAGTACGTACGTTTATGTATTATTTTTTATTAAAGTATCTTTTTTAAGCAACTTTGATTCTTAGAATTTGGCAGTTGCTGCAGCAGCATATGAAACAGATTGGTTCTTATTCGATACTTCAACACAAAAATATATTCTCTTAATAATAATGCGTGCACAGCGACCAAGTACCGTGAGTTTTAACTTGTATTCATTGAATTCTAAATAAGTTATATTATTTCAGATTAAAGTTGGAGATAATTATCCGATGACTTTAGAATTATTTCAGTCATTGCTTAATGCTTCATACACATACTTTACTTTGTTAAAAAGAGTGTATGGATAAATTTATAGTTAACCAATACGCCGGGTGCACACTAGTGACAGAAAACAGTCGGTATCGCTACTCTACCGCATGTGCATTGAAAAAGTACACGACTTCTAGTTCTAGCACTCCTACTAGTTATGGCCATTTTACGCAGTCGACCACATGATGATCGATCACCATTGTCACTTTCAATGTAAGTTAAAAACTTAAATGGTGGTGGTGATCAACGATCAATCTAAATAATTGAAAATATTGAAGGCAATAATAAAAGTGGTGATCGACGATCATTCGATCGTCTGTGCATCATGGCCTCTAGTGTGCACAATTTTATGTAGATTTTGGTAATTCAAGTTTTCAGTTGTTATGTCTAGGTTTATTCTCTATATCTACCCAGCATAGTTCGTTGTGTAACACAAACTTTTATGTACACACAATAAGACTCTATTTTATTATAAAATCGCTTTTGTTTCCTAATAAGCTATTTTATTGTTCAGAAGATTTGAAAAGAACTAATTAAAATGCTCTTAAAATATTTATGACATTTAACGCATTTGCAGAATTTGTACAACGTTATTGTAATTATATTGAAAAACAATATTAACAAAGCTAATCAATAATGTCTATATACATTCTTACCGACCTATAATCTAATGTACCTTACAACCGCTTTAGCGTCAGCTTGGTGGCACCGCTAAATTGTCGCTTGTTTGTTTACGATGGGCTAAAGGATTTATATATGTTTTTTAATAACCTAATTAGTGTGCTTTCATTTATGTAACAAATAAGGAATTTCTCTCAAATAAAGTTTATTATTACTCAACAATATTTAATTATACTTAAATACATAATTATATATTTACAATCAATTTTTTATTGCTTAACATAATTTAAAATTTAGCATAAATATATATAAAAAAAACTAAAATTACTAACACAAAAATTCAAAATTTTTTCATAATTAAATAAATAGAATGTTCACATAATTTATACAATTGTAGAATTGACACTGTTATTCTGTAAAATAATATCATAACATATATTTTTATAAGAATTCAAAAAAAAAAAAAATATTGCTAAAACCAAAATAATTATATTATTCAGTAGTAACTTTGTGTATTTTTTGAATATACAAAGAATTTGAAAGTTTGAGTAATAAATTTATTTGAAAGTATTTCATAATACACAGTATAATAAATAGTACAGAGGTTCTTTTTATAAGTTTGATACTTAGTTTGGAAATAAAGAGATATTTTTTTTTTCAAATTTTGGTTACATAAGGAATTAATATGTAAGCGTTAAATATAAGCAAAACATATATTTATCATAATGAAACTTTGTTCCAATTTAAATTGTATAAAAGTAATGAAAATAAAGTCAAAAATTAAAAACAAAAACATAAATATATTACAATATAATTATATTTCACAAACTGTCGTTGATTTTAGTTTCTTAAAAAATATTTAATATTTAAGGTAAAAGAAATCAATTAAAACTAATATAAATAATTGCGTCCAATACGTAATTGCAGATTTATAGTTTACCCGTACACTGTTTTACACATTTTTACACATTGCATGCGCTCCTGTAATATTTCTCTTCTTTAATTAAATATCGCAATAAATAAATAAATTTTTATATAATTTGTTTAACTTGACATAATATCTTTGTAACAAATAACATGCTTATATGCTTTTCTTTAACTATATTCTGATTTCTTTTGTTTTTGTAATTTTTCATAATGTAAACTGTTCTAAATGACAATTAAAGTGAAAACACATTTAATTTAAGTTACAATTTTAAACTTCGCAAACTCACATAATGATGTGAAAGGTATGTTGATATTATATATATTATTGTTTTCATTTTTTTTTTTTGTTTTTTTGAATAAAGTAATTCCAAACTGCACTCCACACCCAGATAGAAAATTTCTGGCTTTTATTGGTTTTCCATTTTCATTTTTATTTTATTCACACATGCTTATAGTTATTTATTATAAAGTTTAGATTAAAGAGTCTTATTAAAGTTAATTATTATTAAATATTTATATTCAATTTGTTGCAAAAGACAACAAATTTAATGTAATATTGCAAATAAAATTGCATTTTAAATACAGCTACTAGGCTGAAAAATTTATCAAATACAAGTTTATATATATGCAATATGCGACTCGTACAAACAACACACTAAATTTAATTTAATATTACATATAGTCAGCATTTAATATTTTTTATTATTTCAGTTTTTTGGTGAAACGGTAATGAGCTTATGTGGTGTAACTGGCGAAATCTGAAATAGTAAATAAATAAAAATATATAGCCTTATCTGTATTTTAACTTTATAATTCAAAAGATGAAAAATGAAAAATGAAAAATATTTACCCATAATGAACGGCTGCCCATAAATGTGTCATCATCATCTTCAATTAAACTGTGATGATGATGGCTTTGTTGATCAATGAATATTAATGTATCCTTGCTGCAGGTATTTGCAGAGTTACGTAGCATTGATGACAAAGTCTCACTGCATTCACGTAATTTACAGTTTGAACTTGTGGAAAAGGAGTGTCGTAAATTTAGGCCATGTGTCTGTTGCTGTAGTTGATGTGTACCATTCTCAACAGCTGATACACTTACTCTACTGCCATTCCAATGTTGCCTGTGTTGTCGTGACAATTGAAATTCGTGCGTATGCGCAGCTACAGCTGTTCCAATAATGCTACTACTATTGCTTTTTAAGCTAGTGGATAACAAAGCCTCTTTATAGTTGTTATTAGCTGATGCCGACTGGGTCACTGGGAAGCCATTGAATTTTGTCTGTAAGTTTGAAGCACCATTAACTGAAGTTGCTAGCGAATGTGGTGAGGAACGTGAAGATAATGATGAATCCGAAGATGTTGTTGATTTTGAAGCATTTGGTGTTGGAGAATATTTGCTCGAACGATTGATGTCCATACCGTTCATGTCAATTTTATGATTATTTACAACTTGTGGTGAATGGTTTAATATAGTTGCCGCTGTATCTCCTGATGAAGCAGCTGATTTCTTTGTAGGTGAGCAAATTGTTCTTAATACTGTCATTGCTGTTATTGGCACCGCATTATTTACTTTTTCTGACTCAGATGTTGGAATTACCAACTCATTTTGTTCAGTGATTTCATTTTCATTTATGGGGCAATCTTCATCCATTTCAAATATTTGATTAACATCATCTGTAACTTTTTCGACTTCATTAATTTTTGTAACTAATGTTTCCAGAACTTCGAGTTCATCTTCTTCATCATCAGCACCAACGCCATCTGCATAAGCAATTTCTTTAATGTCGACCAAGTTCTTTTCGTCCACTTTTTCAATCACAACCGTTTGAGCGAGCGTATTTTCTGGTACGACATTTATTTCAACTTCTAAAATAAAAAAAAATAATATTAAAAATTCAAAATTTAAAGTTAAGTATTTCCTTTACCTTTTGATAAATTATCTTGATTATCGTTACTAATCTTCGGTATTTCTAATGGTTTTGTTTCAGCTTTCGTTATTACATTTTCATTTTCCACTTCATCTTCTTTTGTTTGACTTTCAGCCTTTTCTACAGTTACGTTTAACTGATCCACCGTTTGAGTTGGTGGTGGAAGAGGAGGCGCTATACGTGATACCCAATGATCTCCGGAATTGGAACTAGAACCAGAACATTCGACGACATCTCCCAGTCTTCTCTGATAAAAAAGCATATAAGCTTCGTTATTAATTATTTGCTCTTGTATTGATTCATTTGGAACTTTCGTAACACGTTGATCATCAAATTTATACCATTGCCGATCATAAGGATTTTTACAAGCAGCGGTATAATGCCCAGTTTCTAATGTATCACCTTGATGGTAGCATACTGCATACAGATCATACCGTGTCTCTTTATTATCTCGAGAGTTAAGTGTTGAAGATCGTGAATCTCCAGTACGACCTTTTTTCCAAGGACTAGGCCGAAAATGTTGTGTAGCATCTGAAGCTGATAGGGTTGAACGACTCTCTTCATCAGCACCACGCGCCAAATGCGGAGACATATCAAATGCATTTAACGGGAAATTAACCATTGTTGTAAGCTTGGCAGCATTCGGACCTTTAGCTTGATGTTGGCGAAAACGCTTAAAATGTACAACAAGTATATCAGGAAGTGACCATAATCCTAAAGTTTTTACTACTGGCAAATATTGTTGACAATGTGGACAACGCCAGGCATCTTCAGCACTTAATGTTTCCGCTTTGGTATAGTGTTCCAAACATTGTTCTAAACTTAAAACACCATCATTGTTGGACTTATTATCAAGTAAACGTGCCACACTCTCATGGTCAACAATAGTGGACGTAAGATCAGCAAAATACTCTTCTGGTTCAGACCATTCTAACAATAATTTTATATGTGCTGGTCCAGCCTCAGCTGACAGTACTGATAAAGCTAAATCAATCATTTCTGTTAATAATGGATGTTCAACTGGCTCAAGATATGTTACTGGATCGGCTGAAGGATCTTGTAAGCGTATATGAAACATTTTGTTTGTTGGTGTTGTATATGAAAAAACTTCTGGTTTGAGCAAAGGCGCCATTTCACGCAACAGTTTTTTTTGTAATTCTGCAAAACTACAGTCACGTGATACATGCATACTGAATGGTGAACTAAATCGTTCATAGCCTATATCTTTTTCTTTTACTTCAGCATCAGTTGTAGCAACAACATCATCGGTGCCAGGATCATACTTCTTCTTTTTTCGCACATTTGTTACAAGTATTAACAAAGTGGTAGATGTAGTTGTATTACTTACTGTCGTTGGGACACTTGTAGTTGTATTATCACAATTTTTGTTAAAAGTGCCTTCGTTTGCATTTCCAGATGTTGTTGTAACTGCTGGCGCTTTTATTTCTGGTACTTCAATACAATAAATTGTATCAATTCCATTCAATGTTGCAACCGGTTGAGTATCATAAAATACACGTGAAAATCCTTCTTTGTTTATGTCAACTAAAACCATACAATTACTGGATATGCCTGTATTTATTTGCAGTTGCTCTCTCAGCGCTACTATAGGTGATCCAGCCGGCACCGTTAGACCATATTTGACTTGTCGCGGATGCTTTTTCAAATAAACCACTGTTACAAAGATTGTTTGCTGCGACAGCTGCGGCAATTGTACTGAAATGCAATGAAACGGATCGAATGTATTCGATTGTTTCTTGCAACGTGGGCATGTAAGTGATGAGCGGAACTGAGCCTGAAATACTGCTTGTACAAAGGAATTGTTACAGCGTATATGATTCGCTAGAGTTTCAGCAGCAATGACTTCATCAGGACGACCATAGGTATTCTAAAAGATATAAATATATTAAATTTATATACTTTCAATTTGTATATTCAAATTTATATACTTTCAACAATATATATATTTATATATAAATAAAAATGCTTAAAATAAGCAAATGCAAATGTAATATAATTACCATATTTTATTATTTGTTTAAAAAAACTGTAAATGTAATTATATTATAAAATATATCTTATCTAAACAAGATGTAACTGTTTTTATTTAGCAAAGTACTTTTATTTTAAGAATTTACATAAATTGTTATTAAATTTTTAAATTGTTACAACAATGTAGAAATTGTTTATATTATTTAATTTTATTATTTAAGCTCTAAAACGACATTACTTTATTTTTTTAATTACCTTGCCGTAGAATTTTTATCTTGAATTCATATTTTTTGCGAATTATTTGATTTCTTGATATTTGCTTTCCTTTATTTAACTTGATATTTATTAGAAAGTTTTTCACAATTTACATAATTTCTTCCATTTAGTATTAATATAAACAAATAACATTTCTTTTTAAAAATCAATTCATTTTTACTTAAGCATAATAATCGAAAGCAGATTTGTTAGTTTTGTAAAATATTCCTTTTATTAATAAAAAATTTAATTTTGGTACTTATTCTGTATTTTTGATTAAATTATTATAAAGTTTAATTTAAAAAACAAAAAAAATTAAATTTGTATTAACTTATATATTTAATTTACCTTCATGCTTTTGTAGCGTCTTTTAGTTGCTGTGTTCAAATCTTCATGCACTTTATCCAGTAACCAAAATAGAAACTCTTGTGCGTCATGCTGCGTAGAGCTACGAAACTGGGAACCATATCGATCTACAACCGCCTAGAAATGTTCAGTCATAATAATTATATTAGTAATTTTTGAATCGCAAAAAGTAGTAAATATATAGCAAACCTTAAAACTGGTGCTGTGATCGCTTTCATTCTTGCATGTCCATAGTGCTTTCAGGACATTTGCTAGCTGTTCAGTTAATTCACCTTTCGTGCCAAACTTACGTGAATTGATTTTGTTACGCCGTTTTAAATCAGCCTATAATTTAAATAAAATTAATTTTAATTAATCATAACAATGTTTAATATAAAGTATATAAAAAATCAATAATTATTATTTTCATTCAACACTTGCCTTGTATTGGTCCAATACAAAGTATTCAGCTAAAATGTCAGTATGACTAAGACATTGCAATACTGCATTCATAAAACAGGTATTGCCATGATTCTTGAGACCCATAACGCCAGGAGTTTGATCTGCTGGCCATTGATACCCACTTATAGGTGGTACTCGATCTGCTGTTGGAACTGTATTAGTTTGTGAGGACGCATTTTGCTTGTTTGCCTATAAAATATAAATAAAAAAAAAACACATTTTAGTACTTGTTTTAATATCTAACACATATGTATATTATATATAGATACATTAAGTTTCTATAACATTATTGAGATAATATCGATAACAAAAGACATTCAAAAGTAAAACTTGAAAACATTCTTTTAGAAGAACAGTAATATTGTATTTAGTAATAAATACAATAAGTAATAAGTAATAAAAGTAAGTAATAAACAATTTGTAAAAAATAATTAATTACTTATTTATTATAACAAAAAATAGAAAAACACTATTAAATTAAATAACTTGTTTTGATTTATATAAGTTAATTATATTAACAGTCATGCTCATAACCTCAGATAGTGCTACGCTCGGTGCACTTTAAATACTCTTCAAATCGTCACGATTCGTAAGTATATATTAAAGGGAACGTGTGCTGAGAATTATATATTTAAGACGTTTTTAAAGCGCTTTACGTATAGCGAGAACGAAGTGCTCAATGTTTTTAGAAATAATAGCTTCAAAGCGCTATAACGTAACATGTTTACAAAGAAAGCAATGCATTTAATATTATGCATTAACTCTATTTAATTTTGAGCGGTATATAATTTTAATAATAATAATTTTGTTGGGGCGGTATTCACGTTCTGTTGGTCTTTCTATTCATATATTATTTTGTTGTACAAATAAGAAAACGAAATTTTGTGTAAGTAACTATTTTCCCAATTAAGGGAGTATTAACCGTTTAATGTAGATTGAATAATTACCTAACGAAGTTAGGAATTCAATCCAACACGAACTGCAGATACTGTGGAGAAAGAGAGAAACTGCATACCACGTGCTTGGGGAGTGCCCGGCACTGATGCAAGAGCAGAAGAAATACATAGAAGGGTATTTCATGGATCATAAGAATTCAAGACTAGGAAGATACTGTCTTTCAGTCTTTTGGACTGGGAGAAATACTCCAATCCGACTAAGAGGCACAACAATAGACCTTTTAGATCGCAGTGCACTATACCTTTTCTCAATAATAATAACTGTTTTCTACCCGTTAGTTTTTTACAAAGCATTGCTAATAGAAATTAAAATTTTAAAAGAATTTGAGATTGAATGCTTAAGTATCTTCATAAAATAATAAATATTTATTAATATTGAATATATTATCTATTATATTATACATATAAGAAACAATGAATATAAATAACTTGCAATACTAACCCATTCAATTTAAGGTTTGGAATATGCGGAAATATAAGTCTAAGTTTTATACGTAATACTTAAAACATAGCAAAACAAACCCAAACAAAATATAAACAATAAAATTGGCACTAACAACAAATCAATAATTTAAAAAAGAACACTAATCAATATAAAGAACACTATATATGCACAAAATATAGAATTAAAAAACTAAAATAAATAGACAATAATAATAATGCGATAATACAATAGAAATGCAGGTAGGATGTGTAATTTTAAAATTGAACCAATTGCAGCTTATGCCACAAATTAACGAAGCCGCCACACACGCGGAACGCAAACCATGCGCACTCTTTGAACAGTCAATTTGGAAGATTGGAAACCAATCGTTGGAAAAACAGAAATGGTAGCAATTTTAGATACAATAAGTTTTGTAGGACGATATTGTGTATTATGTGTGGCCAATAAATTAACGTGCCATTGCATTTACAAGATACATAGGTAATTCTAAAAAGCAAACATAAGTACAAGTTGATTGTGGTTGTAATGCAAAAGCCAATTCACAATTCACAAAACACTTTGGAGTAAAAAATAAAATATTTATTCATAACAATAGAAAAGTAATTTCATATTTATTTTTAGCATATAATAATAATATTGAAAAGTTCATTCATTCATTTCCAAATACCTTTTTTCTACGCCAACATCCAGTATAGAAAGGAACAATATCTATAAATGTTGTTCTATCAAATGCTGACTGCAAATGAAGGCAACATTAAAAGGAATTAATTGCAAAATAGTAATATTTAAATGTTTTTAAATTGTATAATTAATTTATAAACAACAATCAAATAAGAAATTTCTTTAATACTAATACAAACAGTGTAAAATAATAAACAAAAGAAGAGATAAAGCATTTTATATGTCTCAGATTTCTCAAACAAACATACACAATCTTTTAAAAAAGTACCAGGATTATGCATTCTAATGACCCGCCCTAGTGAAATACTGTACTTATCAATATTGCCACTAACTATTCAGTTTATAATCGTATTTTGTTCCCGAAAGGACAACATTTATGATAAATACCTCCATTTTAAGCGATTCATTCATTTGAAGAATATGTACTTCTTACCTATGCCCTAAAAACAACGTCTTTTTCCATTAATTTTAATCTAGAATTTATCATTATTAATGTATATTTTTCATAAATTTCAACAAAAGTATTTGTTGCTCAGTTCTTTGATCAATCGGCAATGATATACATTAAGACCGAAAAGTTTTCGGAAATTCTCATTTAAAATTCGCGCGCTGTATATTTTTCGATATTTTAAGTTTATGTAGTTTGGCAGCAATTAAGGACAATTACTATGCCAAAAATGAGCGCGATCTGTCAGACAGTTCGTTTACGGCAGGTGTTGAAACCAGTTCACCTCAGTAGTGCGTTGCGAAAAAAACAATGGAAAAAAATATTGAACAAAGAGTTTGCATCAAATTTTGTGTTTCGAACGAATTTTCGTGTGCAGAATCGTTGCGAATGCTACAAAAGGCTTATGGGGAATCAGTTTTATCGAAAACTCAAGTTTATGAGTGGTACAAAGCCTTTCAGGACGGGCGTACGACCGTCGAAGACATTTCGCAACGCACTACTGAGGTGAACTGGTTTCAACAGCTGCCGTAAACGAACTGTCTGACAGATCGCGCTCATTTTGGGCATAGTAATTAAGGACAGTGCTGCCAAACTACATGAACTTAAAATATCGAAAAATATACAGCGCGCGAATTTTAAATGAGAATTTCCGAAAACTTTTCAGTCTTAATGTAAACTTCTAATATATTGACAGAAACTTTTAAATAAATTAAAAAGTTTAACTGATATGACCTCAGTGGGTATTTAATCGGCAAGAAACAAATAAAAAAAATAAGGAAAATAAAATAAATTTCATAATTACATTTCACCCGCCAACTATTAAAATGTCTTTCAAAATATGCAACGACAATTCTCCACAAACGAACTACTCACAGTTAATTGAGTAAGAATGAAAACAATTTAAAGATACTTGTAAAAATGTTAAAATTTAGTTGTCATTGTTCAATTATTTATACTTGCATAGTTTACATAGCAAGACAAACAATGGAAATTTTTTTTTTTTATTAGAAACAAATTTTATTTTCCTTACTTCATTTACGTAAATAAGTATCTGAAAAATAAGATGGCAATCTGAAAAGACAGCTAACATTCCAGTGCTTTCGAAAACAATATTGATTGAAATTTTTTCAGCATGTTGTAAAACATATGTAGCTAACCTCGTATAAAATAAGTAAGGTTAGAATGAGAAGGTACGTTTGAAAATAACAATACTATGACACGGGAACAACTATGGCCATTTGTTGTTGGAAAACAAACCATTGTTTTCATTGTACTTTTGGATTTTTTCCTTATTAAACCATTTGATTTTCGAACTGAAATTATGAGGACACCATAGGTTTAACTTCATATTCTATGTCAGACCAATAAAAAAAACCGAACTCCCAGACATTGTATCCATTTCGTCTATACTCCTCCTAAGCATAGACAAAAAAGGCATTGATGAATTTTTCTTTTCTTCAATTATTTATTTATTATTAAATAATAGGCTATAAAAGCACCCCAACCTAAAAGATGCCTAAAGGCCCAACTAAAATAATACTGAACTATTTATGAATCTCGTAAGTGCTGTGGGTTTAATTTTACCTATTTGACTTGAGACTCAGATCCCGCTTCCAAGGTAGTCAAGTCTACGTCTTGCTGTCGTTAGGAAGTTGCATAGAATATGTTCTATTATTTCCTTCTCTTCATGCACCTTTAATCTTCACTCTTCTTCAATGGGTTCGTACCTAATGAGTCTTTATATATAATATATACAATATTAACTTAGTTTATTTCAATTATGCACTTCGGCTTCAATAGGTACTTCTACTTTATGAAGAAAATCTAAAGATATAGCCAGTATTGATTCCATTTTTTTTGTGTTCGGAGTGTAAATCATCACTAGCTACCCTCGTATAACTACAAATCTACACATATACAATAAGAAGCGTGTTTGTACGTTGTACAAATTAAGGGTGCATGACGATGATGCATGAAGTGTTTATTAATAAACTTATCAATGTGCAACAAGTCATTGTTATTGATTTTGCCTGCAATTTGTATAAATAAATTTGTGTACAATAGAATCTTGAGCACTCGTATTTGAAACAATAACAATAATAATAACAAGTTGATAAAATAACTGTCATAATAATTTTATATAATACGTTAAGAGAAATAAATGCGAAAATAGCTTTTAATTTAATTTCAAATGTCAATTGCAAAAAGCAATTGATGATTAATTGAAATGCTTTTTTTATCAGTTTAGGAGTATGTCAATTGATAACGAATAATTAATGTAACTATATATGTAACTATGTATATGTAGTGTCTATATATGTAACACTATGTATGTAACGCTGTATGTAGTTACATAACAAAAGTAAATACACATAGTTATACTTACATGTAGTTACATAGTTACATAGTTGTATGCAATGTAACTAAGAATAAAAATGTCTCATTGTGAATTCTAGGTAAAATACTAAATATTCTGAATATGAATTCTAATATTTAAATATAAATTTAATGAAAAAGCAGCACTGATTCTTTCAAGTGGTTGGTAAATAAGTAATGTAACTATGACCGCAAAATATTTTATTTTAAAGAGAATGATAGATAAAAATATTAAAAAAAAAATTGATATTATTATTAAATGTATGTATAAGTATAAAAAATT